AAAGGTTGATGCATGATGACGAGTTCCATTGAAAGACGATACATAGTGTCACGATTCATTCTTCGCACGACCGATTGATACGGCATGCGGCCTCTTGATCTTGACAATGGTTGTGTAATGAAACTTTCATTCGATTCAGCAACAATCTGTTGAAAACCATTCCTGGTATTGGTAGTAGTGCGATGCCTCTGCAGCTGAGTTCTCACACTTGTTCAGATCTCCTTTCTACCGTATCTTGATGAGGTGTCCTTCTCTCCAGTGTGTCGGCATTTATTCTCCCTCCCATGTCCTGCTGAATGGAATGTGGAGCATGTTTGCAGTTACTTCCACATCTGAATTCAGTGCTCGACCTGGTACATTTTCAGAACCTAATGCTCTCCTACTCTTCATTTGTCTGATGGCCATCCTGATTTCATTGAATGTTGGTGAGAGAGCAGCAATGAGATGGTATGCGTGCTACTTCTATATCGATTGTGTATTCAAGTGTTCTTCAAAGTGGTCTGCATATCTGTTCTTCTGTTCTTGAACCTCAGTGGTTGGTTTTCCTCCTTTCTCGTCTACTGGCATTTCTGGTTTACTATATTTCCATACTAGTTTGTTCGTTGTGTTATATGGTTGTCTGATATTTCCTTCTGTTTCTTGTTTTTGTACTGTGATTGCTAGGTCTTCCCCATATTTCTACATGTTAACTCTCATGCTCCTCTTCACTTGTTTGTTTGCTTCAGTGTGTAGTGGCATTGAACAATAACCGCACAATCCACAAAGCTGAACACGAGACTACTCAGAAAATAGATATTCAATATTTAACACGGAGAAATACCTAACGATGGAGAAGGCGCGAAGGATGAATTGAATGAACTGGAGTTGATCGAGTGGCATGGCTCGGCCATGCAGGCGTGGTCTCTGCTGAATGTTACCTTATATCTTCCATTCATATTAAATATATTGTTCTTTCTCTAGCCTAACCTTGTTCTACATCTTGTATTGGTAATTGATACGATACAGTGAGTTGGTGTAGTCGATGGTGTGACTTCCACGTAAGATCTTATGGATTAGGCAGTTATATCATGACAAATCTACAAATTTAGGATTAGGTCTATTATTAAAGCAGTACTAATATCATAGTAGACCATAGTTCTACAAGTGTATTCTGCATGGGTCTTGACTTCCTCTGCTCTTGTTCAACTTGTAGTGACCCACATTTATCACGGGAACACGACTGGTTTAATAAAAACAATTATTATTATAACCAACTTTACCAGTGCTTGTTTTAATGTGCTTTTGTTTGACTGTGCTAATGACAGCTATATTTTGCTTCCATTCTTATACACACACTTTTGCTTGTAACTTCGCTCGAATTCGGTTACGTTCTGTAACCAAGCTTGTATCCTGGCACGATCTCGGTATCCTTTCGATGCCACGAGATCGCCAGCAAATATATCTCGATTCGGTCCATTAACTGCCTTCTGATATTTGGCTTCTCGGGGATCTTATGGATCTATTTGGTTACGTTCAACCTACGCCTTCTGATTTACTTGGCACGTGTTTCTTGGTAGCGGTGTTCATAGTTAACCTCAACTCGACACCACGCTACAAACTATTGCTAGTTACTATCATTTCGTTCTTCTTTTCTTGAATCTTGGCAATGTTTTCCATAGAGATTCATTCCTTATGATGATGCTTCTGCGGACCAGCAGCTGCTTACACGTTGAAGTTAGTGTCTCTTCAACCTGCTTTCCGTTGTCCCACATTTATTTTCTTCTTACTTCATTAGATCCTGAAAGTCTTGAAGCCTGTTTTTGAAAGTTAACCTGAATTCGTCGAGTTTGTCAGCATCTCGAAGAAAGATTGTATTGAACATTTTGTGCTACTGTTTCCTCGGTCGTCCAGTGGTTATTTAGCACCGATTTCATCTGGTTAACCATCGGATGTGAAGCTATGTCAGCTCCTCTCTTGAGATTCCCATGCCACAAGATTTCTTCGTGCTTCTTCGAACAAAACCAGTGCAACTCTCACTCCGTGTGTAAGCATTCTTTTTTTCATGACCAGAATACAACAACATCTCTCCCAAATCTAACCGTTCCAATCGAGCTTGTGTTGAATGGGTTTCATATATTCCGAGCATCTTCATGTTGTGTTTTCTTATTGCTGTAATTATTTGACTGGTCCTCCTAGTCTTCCACATTGTGCGAACGTTCCATGTATGCATAATAATTGTTGTTGTGATTATTAGAACGGACATTTGTCTCATGACTTCTGAAGAATATCCGCTCTCACCATGAGGTTTCATGATTCTTCAAATGGTTCAAATGGTTGTGGACGGAATAGAAGAAGCTTTCGCTTAACAGGCTTCCGTGTCTAGTAGCAGGGGATCACCAAGTCCTCCAGTCAGGAACCTAGGTATGTTAACAATAAAAGAGGAAAAGAAATTGGTAAATCATAGTGTGATGCTGTTCTTGGTTCTTAACAGTAGGTCAAGTTGCCTCTTGAAGGACTCCTGAGAAGTCGCTTGAACTAGCTCGGCCGGCAGCGAATTCCAGCTTTTGACAACTCTTAAGGAGTAGAAGTTGTGTCTGCATTCCGTCTTGCTATGTTGTGTTTCCAGTTTCTGGGTGTTACCCCTTAGGTTATTATTCGGACTAAGCTTAAGTAGGTGTTTAAGAGGATGTCCAGAAGTGTTAAGAATACCATAAGCCATTGATAAATCACATCTAAGACGCCTATATTCTAGTGGGTAGAGGTCTAGTGAACGGAGGCGTTCTTCGTAAGGCTTAGATTTGAGTCCTCGAACTGATTTCGTGGCTCGCCGTTGGATACGCTCCAAAGTGACCTTGTCCTTTTGGAGTGAGGGGGGGAGTACTATGATTCCGTACACTAAATGGGGACGGATGAAACTATTGAAGATTGTGTGGAAAGTTCTTCCGTCAAACTGGCCAAAAATGCGCCTCAGCGTTACCAGTGCAAGGTTTGCTCGGAAGGCATTTTTGTCACAGTTAGCGTAAGACTTTAAGTCGTGGGGCACCAGGACTCCTAAATCTTTTTCGACTTGGGATACTACTAGAGAGGAGTTTCCTAAGTTGTAACTGTAGTTTGAGACATGTCGCAGATGGACTACTTTACACTTTGAAGTGTTAAAGGTAAGTCCGTTATCGTCTGCCCAACTTTGAATTCGCGTCAGATCCTCCTGAAGTGCCTGTGTATCGTCTTGGTTGCGTATCTCTCTCCAAAGTTTCACGTCGTCGGCAAAAAGTAATAAATCTGACGTTACCTGTTGAGGAAGATCATTTATGTAGATCAAGAAGAGAAGAGGCCCTAGCACTGGGCCCTGGGGGACCCCACTAGAACATTCCATAGCCTGAGATAAAGTTCGAATGAAGACCCTTGAACACGGAACGTAGTGTATAAAGTGCTTATTTTTCATTTCAGCTGGAGTTTTTTAGGAAGGGTTTTTCTACGGGTTGTTGTTGCTGACCACTTTTGCAACTCTTCTTCTTTACCTGTGGTTGTGACCATCGGTATCCCAAGAACTGTTTGTAGAGCTTTACTTTCAGATAAAAATCGCCTACATAATGAAGGAAACGCAATTACATGTTTCGAGTTTAATAGAGTAATGGTGGGATAACATCTATTTGTAAGTAATATGACGTTAAGAGTTGTTTCAATATATCACTGGTATTGGCGATTTAATCATTTTTTTCTTGCTGACCTTGATGTTTGTTGTTAGGTTCTCAATGTATTTAAGTGTTAGTGTAGGATTGTGAGACAGCCGTCAGAGAAATAAGTAGTTGAGCCTATGTTTTAATACTGGTATGCCCAATTAGTTTCCATTTGCTACAGTCCTGGCCAAAGTTAAAACATTTAATATTTGAATGTCAAGTACTACAGCAATACTTTAAAATCATCTTGCATCAAACGAAAATAACTTGTCTTAAATCATTATGAGGTCAAAATAAAATATACAACTCTCGACTGCTTAATATCACTATTCACCAATTTTTCTGTCGCTCACATCGTTATTACAAGCTTGTTGTTGGTCGGTTTAAGTTATTTTACGTTAGTATGTCAGTTCGATCTGTGCATGTTGTTTTTTATCTGGTTATATGTCTCAGGTAGGTAGTTAAACGGAATACAGCTTGAGGTTGCTTTTATTTAAAACAGTATGTCAATTTATTCAGCTTTTGACATTCCTCAGTACTGAATAAGTGTGTGAAAATTATTACATGGGTGCATATTTTCATTGTTATGGTATTTCTGTAAGTCCTTTTAATCAACTCTGCATGGTGACAAATTCAGTGTCTTCCACAATTACTCGTTCATCCTTCAAGCCATATCAAAATTATGTCATCAATTTGTTGCGCCTTAACTACCGGTGGTAACTAAGACCGATATGATTAATGCGATTAGTCTTAGTTCAGAAGTATGTTAAACACCATAGAATTAGACTTAATAATAGTTAGTTAGAGACTGCTTAGCACTGCTTAAATTCGTCCCATGCATTTACTCTTTATCTTTTATCGACCTTGAGTCTCAGTATCCTGTCATACTTACGTTTCTAATCTATCTTTTTAAACTATGCCCTCAAGACTAATTCTTGGTTTTCATTATTGCCACAAAGTTTATAGCTCGTGTTATTTCCATCTCGCGTTAATGTGGTATAATAACCTGAGTCAACTCACATTTGTCCCAGTTTCTACTTTCAATATAGCTGACTGTACAACTTGACAGTTTATTTTAAACTTTTACCTTTAGTAGAGATTGTTCTTTTGTGATTTCTGGGGTATACCATTTTCAAATAGGATAAAAATTGTATTAATGGATGCAAACATTTTCATTTAATTTTTCATTCCACTGATGTTCTTGATTGTTTTATGCGCTTTAAGATATTTCCATTACTTTTTCAGATCCTTTCTCACAGCTATTTGCAGCATATATTATTCTGTTTGGGTACCATTCCCAATTCGGATTTTAACCGTTGTTACTGATACATTTCTGGTTATAAAATGAGTGACGACGATCAAGTTGTACGACAAAGAACAGTAAGTTCCATCTGGATATGAGTATTAGCGATATATTTACAACTTCGTAAACATATAAACTTACTGTACGATGTACTTTTGCCCATAAAATTTACTAGATTTTATTATTGTCTGTGAAATAGTGCGGGGGATCAAGACTAATGTTCATTACTATCTATGCTATGCATTAAAGTTAATCATCTAGGTAACTTTATGCTAAGTACGTGTTTAGGTCAGACATTTCCTGATATACTCAGGGTTTGTAGGCTATTCTCTTTGGTCTCTGTAAGATTACGGAGTTTAGTGTATAAGATTGTTAAATTACTATATTGAATATGGGTTTCTTATTATTCAAACCAATGATGCTCATGGGCTCCAGGTTCTTGAGGGGACGAATGGCGTATGAACCTATTATTAGTCACCGGCTACCATCGGACTGTCTCCTTATGTTGCTCCTTTGCCTTGTAAATCGGACCGTCAGGTCAAAGGCTCCGGGTGTGGAATCCCAGGAAAACCACCTGTTTCGGTCTGAGCACCCGGGCAGTATCACAGCCCTCACACAAATCAGTGATAATTGCTACTGGCCTCACTTTTATTATGTGATGTATATCTATTTGGTGCCCCCTTGTACCAATGTTTATGTGTGCAAAAAAATAAACAAATAAATAAGCCATTTTTGTCCCATATTTTTTAAATCAAGCATAATAAACCATTGTCACTAATTGACTTGGAATATGCCGATGACATAGTTCTATTTGGTGAAGACGCTGACAAAATGCAGAGTCTTCTGACCACTCTAAGCAACAATACAAGCATGTTCGGGATGCGATTCTCTCCCTCGAAATGCAAAATGTTGCTTCAGGATTGGGTTACATCGACACCCGAACTAGTGATAGAGAGTGGAGTAGTTGAGTGTGTCGACCGCTTCACTTATCTTGGAAGTCTCATCAGCCCTTGTGGTTTAGTGTGTGACGAAATCTCAGCACGGATACAGAAGGCTCGACTAGCTTTTGCCAACTTGCGTCATTTATGGCGTAGGCGAGATATCCGTCTATCAACCAAAGGACGTGTTTACTGCGCAGCAGTTCGTTCTGTCCTACTTTATGGCAGTGAAACATGGCCGGCAAGAGTAGAGGATATTCGTAGGCTACTAGTATTTGATCATAGGTGTCTTCGAAACATTGCTCGTATATCATGGGACCATCGAATAAGTAACACAGTTGTTAGGAAACGGGTACTAGGTAAGGATGGCAAATCAATTGATGAAGTAGTGAAACTTCATCAGTTGAGATGGCTGGGACACGTGTTACGTATGCCCAACGACCGACTGCCTCGACGTGCTATGTTCAGTGGTATAGGAGAAGATTGGAAGAAAGCTAGGGGCGGCCAGACCAAATCATGGCACAAGTCCATGAAGTCACTGACAAGTGGACTGAGTCATGTTGGTAGGTGTAGACTACCTGGTTGGGGACCGCGAGATGATAGCAACCGATGGTTAGAGACCCTGAATAACATGGCTCAAAATCGTTTGCAATGGCGCAGGCGCATCCACTCTTTGTGTTCTCCCAAATTCTAATCTTCTGAATTCTTCATGTCCCTTTCTTTTTTTCTCTTTTCAAATTTATTTCACTGGATTATAACATTTTCTGATTACAGCTTATAATTTTACTAAATCCAGCACTACGGGATTTGAGTCGACCACTGCATCTCTGTGCTAATGTGGTGTGGCAACTCGAACTGATGTACGTACGTACGAAGTTCTACGTTGTTACTGACTGACTATATGATCATAATTGTACGTAAAATCCTGTTCTCAAATTAGTATAGATTGTACTAAGTGTCAAAAATGATTTAGTTTTAACCATTACCTTTTCTCCCACTAGAAATACAGGATACTTTCCATTTTGTCGCTCCGAAGTACCCCTTAGACCAATACAAAATCGTTTCTGATACTTGAAGGCACTTGTGGTCACGTTTAAATGATCCAATATCTACCTATTCTATTATAGGCGTGTGTTTGCAAGTTAACTAGAAATATGAATTCATAGCTATAGTAAGTAACATTGTCGAAAAAGAAAGTTTCTTCCCTAAATTATCTTAGTTTACTGGAGTTTTTTCTAATGGTCACCGTCATCATATCCAGCGAATGTTTGAGCTGCTTCTGTCATGGGAATTTTCGATAATTCGAATGTCATCTGATTGTGCAAAATAAAAAACACGGTTTTTTCATTAGGGGTTTGCCTAAAGACAATGTTACTTGCCACTTATATCAACCTCTGCACACCATTAATCGTTCACATTGACAATCTAAATGTAACGAATTATTTATAGAAATATTGGCAATATCATCTGGTGTCGTACATCTATCGATTTGTTTTGAAGCCTATTACAAGATTAACATTATTAGTTCATGATGAGTATTCCTAAATAATTACATCCCAACTGTTGCTGCAGCCTTGACGTGATGCTTGAGACTGTCTGTCACTATTGCTTAGTCGTGCTACACTGACTGAAGCACTCGTTTTTCTAGGTCCTACCGTGGCAATTAGACTGATTGCTGAGCGGTACGACTAAAAGTCTCAAACCTGACTTCCGAGAGCAAAGTTGTACTCCTAACTGTATGGTATTATGGCGGGTGTAAGGTGTCCTGCTTGTGCAACTAGCATTCGCACAGATAATGTCTCTCCGCAACCGAAGGTTGTTCTTCAAAATAGCACACCTCATCTTGCCTCGTGGATTTTCGTTGCCAGTAGTAAGTTCTTTAAAGTGAAGAACTAACGTGCCAAGTACTTATGTAAAGGCCGTGTATGACCGATTCCAAGCAGTTTTTCCTTGAGTTCTAATGTTACACTTCCAGATGGTCAGAACAACACCTGTATCAGTTCCTCTTTTAGGTCCTTCACTTAGTGGCAATCCTTCTCATACTTGTATCTTCTGTATTTTCTTAAATACAATAATTTTGAAGTCACAAATTACTCAGCCTAAAAGACTGAAACCTAACATCAGACTCTACATTTCGTACTTAGTGATAACTGTCTTCCAAAAATTATTGTCATACAGTAGAATCACCAAGTAAGCAAACTTGAACATGTTTTTGAAGAGATATAAGTACTTTTATAGCAGTATTACTAACCTGGAGCAAATGACTCAATTTAGTCGTTATGTGATTCATTTCCCACCTAACATCTTGCTCTGACTTGTTATGTTGATTTAAATGAAAGTTATTTGAAAAACGTTTATTAGTGTTTGGAGTAAGAAATCACAACTGTCTGTTAAATTTCTGGCCATTGTTCAGAGCGTATAAGGTTACTATAAGCTTCATACATTAAAGTCTTTGAAATAATAAAGATTTGTAGATGTTTGCATGAAATAGGTTATTAATTAATAATGATATTTTGAATTCGTTCTTTCTTAAATATATTCGAAACGTAACTTCGGTCCATTAAGTCACTGACTGTTGGTCTGAACTTTGTCGATTGATACAAACTAATTGGTTGGGTTCCATGTGATATTCGTAATCATTGATTGACATAGCTCGGAATCAGTCACAGTAGCTCACTCATCCTTCCTCAAATCTTGAGTTTCAGTATTTCTTTGTTCATAGCTTTTCATTATGTCTTTTCAAGTTATACTTTCAATGCTTAATTATTGTAATTATTTGGATCCTTTCTCAATTCATCTTGTTGACTTTATCTCATCGTTCTATCACGTTGTATGGTAACTTGTATCAACGCACATTTATGATAGGCTCGACATCAGTTATGATAAAACTAACTAACCTTGCTCTTTAGTAAAGTTTTCATTACCTTAACAGTATAGTCTGTAACTGGAAGTAATATTAAAGGGCTGTGATTTAGTCATTTTCTCCGTTTCTCTGTTTTTTCCCTATTCTTCATCAGGGGGATGTTGTAGAACCAACTACTATTACTGCTTCTTCGACTACTTCTAATACTATCAATATCGATACACAAGATGATGTATTAAACGCTAAGAAACAAACAAGCGATGATGATGACGATGATGAACCAATTGATCCAATTAGACCGGATTTTGAAGCCGCTGAAAAACTACATCAAGGTACAAGTCATGTACCGCCAATAATTGATTTCTTAAACAAATTTCTTCCACCACGTTGGGTTAATTGGACTGTACGATTATTTACAGGCCTACTATTAATTTCAGGATTTACACTTCTTATTTACTTGGGTCCATTGGCATTAGTACTTATGGTAAGTGTTGTATATGATAAGTTATTTATTTATTTTTCTGTTACCACTAAACGATTGACCAGAGTTTGTCAAGTTCTTAGCATTAGCAACTAATTACTTATCGTTGATTTTGTCTTAATTAAGTCCATGAGGAAACTATCATTGCAACAAGCGATGGATTTTTTTATCCAAGTAGGTGAATTCCAAATAATATATGTATAAACCAAGTACATGAGTATGAATGTTAATGGTGCTATTTGGTTGCCAAAAGTCAAGTAGATAGAGCAGAGTTTGAGTCCGAAACATAGTGATTGAAAGTCGAACGCCTTAACCATTAAACCAACATTAAACTATTGAAATAAAGATGGAGATAGCTAAACCAAAATGTTGTACTAGTCCCTGAATTCACTAGTTCATGAACTGAGCTATGTTAATGGGTGTGCAGACTACCTGGTTAGGGTCTACGTTGATTATCGCAACAGATGATCAGAGACTTTAAATGACATGGCTAAACATCGTTCTCAATAGTTAAAATGCATTTACTCTTTATCTTCCCTTAGAACCTCGGTTGCAAAATCTCTTTATATATTTTTATTCTTTCTATACCTAGTCTTTTCTAGAATATTAAAGATTCTCATTGTGAAAATTAGAACAACACATATAAGCGAACAATTGTTTTCAATTAGATCGTCATCAGGCTTTACTCTAATATACATGAATATTTATACCTATTATGTGTAGTGACTTATTCTATTTCATTGTGATTATTGACTCATATTGCCTTGATTGGTTTAAAATTTTCGTATAAATATTCATGTATATTAGAGTAAAGCCTGATGACGATCTAATTGAAAACAATTGTTCGCTTATATGTGTTGTTCTAGTCTTTTCTACCAATGCTGATACTTTTACTATTCCTACTATTCTGGAATTTGTCTTAAAAATAATTTTATGTCGCTGTACTAATGTGGTATAGGAACTTGAACCGATGCACATGTGTCAGGTTGCATTTGATTCACTGTCTAATCAATTCTCTTTTTTCGTTGGCCGATTTTAAATGTATGTACTTGGCTTTTAGTAACATTGTTTGTCTGTTTAAGAACCTACTTACTTACGCCTGTTACTCCCTATGGAGCATAGGCCACTAACCAGCATTCTCCAAACCACTCTCTACTGGGCCTTCTTTTATAGTTCCATCCAATTATTGTTCATTTTACTCATGTCTATCTCCATTTCTCGGCGTAATGCCTTCTTTGGTCTTCCTCTTTTCCCTTGGCCTTGAGGATTCCATGTGAGGGTTTGCCTTGTGACGCAGTTGGGTGCTTTCCTCAATGTGTGTCCTATCCACTTCCAGTGCTTCATTCTGATTTCTTCCTCCGCTGGGATCTTGTTTGTTCTCTCCCACAGTAGGTTGTTGCTGATAGTGTCTGGCCAACGGATCCGAAGTATTTTGCGTAGACAGCTGTTAATAAACACTTGTATCTTGTGGATGATGGTTTTCGTAGTTCTCCAAGTTTCCACTCTATACAGTAGAACTGTTTCGACATTTGTATTGAAAATCCTGGCCTTGGTGTTGGTTGACAGTTGTTTTGAGTTCCAGATGTTCTTCAGTAGTAAATATGCTGCTCTTGCTTTACCGATCCGCGCCTTCACATCTACATCAGATCCACCGTGTTCATCAATGATGCTGCCCAAATATGTTAAGGTTTTTACACTGTGTAAGAACTAGTAATACTGATAATCGGTTGTCCAAGCCGAAATAGTTGAATTATTATCATTATTATTATTATTATTATTATTATTATTATTATTATTATTATTATTATTATTATTATTATTAATCATTAGAAGCTTTATTCAACATTATATTTTTAGTACAACATAGAATTCTCAACATAAAGTATTTCAACAAGTTTTCTTTTCTTATACCTTGATCGATTGTGACGATAAATTTTGAATGATGACCAGTTAGATGTTAGGAGTTCGGTAATCCACATTTGATTAATGTTCATTCGTTTCAATGCATATTGCCGGCCACCTTGATGTCGCTGATGGTACCTTTTTGTATCCCGTATAGCGAAAGGTTGTAAACTTTCCATAAACGCGCCTGAATAGATTGTGTGCACAATAGACATAATAATGTGCTAAAACAAACAACAAAACAGATAACTTGATGAAATATCTAGATCGGAGGAAACAGGTAGCCCAGATATTCAAGCAGGCCGCCTTCAGTTGCCAACCTACTAGTTGGTTGCCAAGTGTTTCAACTCTTAACTTATCAATGCTTAAATAATTGATTAATCCAGATTTATCTTTGGATATGTCTTGTTCTTGAATTCTTAAATATCAGCTTTCTAACTGCCTCCCGGTTCATGAAAGTCTTTCAATCTTGAGGCCAGAAAAAAGCTTAAGACAGGAAGTAAGGAAGAAGATTCACTGTAAAAGGATATATATGGAATCATGTGTAACCTTGAGATCCTGGAAGTTTTTCGAAAACAAGCTGAAATCAGTAACTAATTTGGTAATTGCTTAATCAATGTAAACGGAGTATAATAAATCGTTTTCTAGATTTATCATGTAGTCTTCTAGACAAGATAATCACGTAAAATCTCTTTAATGTTTTCTCGGAATTCATTCATCCATACGGGTACAGAGAATTTTGACTCGAGATAAGCTCTACTCTTGTTCGCAATGTTGACTTAGCACCTAGCAACCCCTTCTTCATTTACTTCGTTCAAACCACAAGTGCCGAAAATAAAAGAATCCTCAAACCTTCCACTACTCATGGTATTCATTAAGGTTTTACTTATAAAGTCATGAAAAATGTAGCTTTCTACGACGAAAATACCACTTCATCATGCTACAGACATGTTAAGTGTAGTATAGTCAGTCATACTGGTAAAAAATTACAACCAAGTAAAAATCAAACCTCCAAAATATCTACCATTAAGTGAGTAAATAAATAAAAACATGACCGTAATTACTATGATACACTTAAATGACTTGACAATATTTACCCCCAGTCAGAAAATGTTAACATTTTAGCTAATGTCAGTTTGTGATTAAAACTCTAAACCTAACCATAAATAATATGAGGATTCTCAAAACTCTGTTTGGATTCTGATAAAATTTCAAGAAGATAGATAATCTATTCTTACCAGGACAACTTTATATGTCGTTGGTTTTTTGGGAAGAAATTTACAGACTGTTCTGACTTATGGCCGCCCACTAATATCACATGACAAAACCACCAGTCAGAATATCAATTTCTATAACTTCGTATCTGATCTGACCAATGACATGACGACCGTCACTAGTAGCTTTTATTCAGTGCTAAGTCCTTAGTGGCACTTGGTCTGGTGGCTTCTCTTCCTGATCATTAAGTCCAGATAATAGCAATTAGTCTCCACTAGACGAATATTATATTTCACACATACATAGTTTACACACAAACAGACCTGACCACATCACACCATAAAATGAAAAATGACAATTATACATGATCAAGACAAAAAGTGGTTGTAAGGGAGATTGAATAATAAACTAGCTACTAATGAAGAACAGCAGATCATAGAATAGTAGTTAATGGGTTAATCAAAAACTCACGATAAAAGGAATATAAATATATCACAATCTGACTACGTAATAATTATACAATTATATATATATATATAAATTAATTCTGATCGTTACTATTCATTTAGTTTTCGTTGGATATAACAGACATGACTAACCAGTAAATAACTTTAATCAACATAAATTTTGTTGATACTTTTGTTAAATGAGGAATATTTTTTTATTTGAACACATAGATATTGGTACAAGGGGGCACCAGATACATATGAGCCACACAAACCATTCGATTTGTGTAAGGGCTGTGATATTACCCGGGCACCCAAACCGAAGCAGATGGTTTTCTTAGGAGGCCACACCCGGAGCCTTTGACCTAAAGGTCTGATCCACCAGGCAGTGGAGCGACGTAAGGAGATACAGTCCCATGGTAGCCGGTCACCAATAATTGATTCATACGCCATTTATTACCTCAGGATTCTGCAGTTCATGTGCACCATTGGTTTGGAATCAGGGATTTCCAATTGCCCTAAGTGGACTCTCCATGTCCACCAACCCAGTTAAAGCGCCGGACACTCGCTTTTCGTCCTCTCAATTTTGTAAACAACACCCGTGGTGCGAGAAGGCAGTGAGTAGGACTTCCATGACAGTGGTTGTATGCACGCGGCCATGTGAGAGCATTTCCAGTGGGAGAGCTGACTCTCTTTACTCTTTGCCGTACCAGGGGGAGGAGGAGTCCCACAACAGGACGAAACGGCCGTCCAGTGCTTCTAGGTTTTCCCTGGTGGTCTAGCTTCAGTTGAATCATGATCTCAACTATTAAAATTACTACAATCTTTACAAAACCCCTTCTGATACAAATGATTATTTACCATAACTTAAACTATACACTTGTAGTTTTCCCATTTTTTTTCCTTATCACCGTATCGATTGGTTAAGAATTAATTAAAAATTCGTATCAGTTGTTTTTGTTTTAAAACTCATCCCTTTATTACACACTTGTCTAAACTAGAATTTATTCTTGTTATAATAATAGTAATAAATTTAAACGAGCTTTGTCAAGTATGAATCCACCTTTTTTCGCTTATTAAATTATGAGATAAGTTTGTATTGTATTCAACTTGGATCAATCAAATGGTTGCTTGTGCTTGATCGATTATTTTGTACTTAAATAATTACCCTGCGGATTAGTTGTTACTATGGCTGTATATATGTGTGTATGTGTATGTTATAGAGAAAGTTTTTAAATGATTTGATATGATGAAAATTTCAACTGTCAAAAATAATAATTAGATTATTAGTTAATGAATGAACTCAATGATATAATGTGTAGTGTAATCAAATAATAATTACTCACAACACTGTAACATTACTGTAGGCGCTCTCCTCTTCATCCACCCTAAATGAATCGAAATAAAAGATGAGAGACTACTAACCAGATATGTAGTTATATTTTGTTTTATTTACTAGAATGACTATGAGCACAAAATAAATCTGATAAAATATTATGGATTATTGAAGGAAATCAGTTTTTAGTTCAATTATCCATCAATCAATCAATTATTATCTTACTGTTAGACTATTTTATCAATGCGGGGAGGGGGCTTCAATAATTTTAACATAATAGAATTTTGTGATCTGATCCCTGTTTGATCTATTCATTTTTAGTTTTTAAACAACTAGGCAGGTCACCATCGATAATGAAATAGGAATAAATAAATAAGAACTATCAGAATGAGGGGGATTTGTGGAGATTGTAGTAATTTTTTTCGATAGCTGAATTCATTAGTCGATCTTAGCTAGAATACTATTGAAAACCTGGAAGCACTGGATGGTCGTTTCGTCTTAGTATGGGACTCCTCAACAGTGCGCACACACGATCATGCATGCAGGACTCGGACCCAAGGCCTTCGGTCTCGTGCGCGAACGCTTGTTTTCTAGACCACTGACTCGGCATCCAACGGTGTTAATGTCTAACTTTAATCGATCCATGATCTTACGCAACCCTTCATCCATTGTCTGTTAGATACCAGCTCAGCGGTCTTGAAGTTAAGTGTTCACTCACGAGACCGAAGGACCTAGGTTCGAGTCCCGTGTGCGGGATGATGAATAAAAATTAGTTATATTAAATTATCGTCACTTATTTCCTCATTTTCACTACAATTAATATTTCACGAAAGGGAGTTTTTACGGATTGTTTAAATTGAAAGTAATTTTATTTATGAAATGGATTCAGTTGATATATCATGGAAACAGTCTTCAGTTGCTTTCATCCTAAGTTGAAGCCTCTTCACAAAGTCGATTGTTATACATAACTTCGAAGAATTACTATTATCAATGGTTGAACAACTATCCGGTACTTTTTGATTTTCAATGAGTCTTCCGGTTGTAAACGTTCCATCATACATCCAACGATGGTTGTTACTTTTATGCTAGTGGCCAGGCCTGCATATCGTAATCATCCAGTCGAAATATATTGGTTAGAACACTTGTTTCTTTAGGTCCTACCATGCCAGCTATGTCTCTCTCTTGTGTTTTAACATTGTTGTATATTTTATTTTCCATGAAAACATCTGTTTCTCTCTGGTATATGCCTAATATTTTCTATTACCATTGGTACACTGTTACTACTATATAAATTACTCTGGCATGTATCATAATAATTTTATCTCTCTGTGCCGATACAATGTAGCTTTTGAACCGGCGTATAAACGTGTCGTTTCTACACTGTTTAGGACCTCCTGAATTCATATCTCAAGAAGCTGTTTATTTATTACTATCTCATTTGTATACAAGTTTATGCTCTTCCCCTCTTCTTCAAAAATTATCGGATATGATATGAAAAGATAACTTGTGAATATCTCTACTTTTGTAACTTCGATACACACACAAAAATTTCAATAAATAAGGCTTTATTAATAGCATCATGTGACGGATTAATTTTATCACAGAAACATTGGCTATGAAATGGTAGATGTATCCATTGTTTATTGTTGTGTCTCTGTTTTCATGTGTTTGAATTTGGTTACATTATCTATTCTAATCAGATTAGAAAGTGATCATTGTTTTCAATGTGGATTTAAATGAAATCAATCTGGATAGGATTATGTAGCAAATCGAGGCAAAATTTCATCCATCCTTTTCAATCTAATTTAGTATTATACAATCAGTAGTGGGTTTTGCTAATCGTAAGTATTAGTGTGATGGACCCTATTTACAAGATTGCTTCTAATAAGTATGCAGCGAAGCGTCGTATAGGAGTTACTACAGTCAACAACCGAAGATAGGAGTCTCAGGAAGCCTAAAGCATGGCGAGTTCGGAATACTTTTGAGACCGAAAGAGAATATATATATATATATATATATATATATATATATATATATATATATATATATAAGGCAGCCTACAATCAGCTTGTGTTTCAGAACAAACATTAGATGCAAATGAAGGATTGAAGACTAAGTGTATATATTTCATAAATAATCTGTGTTCTCTGTAAATTATTACACATACCATCTGAACTTGACTTGTTCTTACATTACGGTAGTACATAAAGTACACGACAGACATCATTAGATCTTGCTTCAGTGTTTAAGTTCTATGAAATTTCTATCCACCAAAACTAGTAATTTGATATGTTGATTATTTCAATATTGGGAAATTTAAAATTGTTATTCATGATTAATATTATAATAGAGATAATCAGATAAGCTAAAAAGATAAAATAAATGCAAACATGGGTTTGCAAATGATAGATGTTACATTTTTATCATAGGAAAAGTATTATTCAGTGATTTACTCAGTTAAGATCAGCTTGGTTTTTCTACATCAAATTTAGTGTTCGCCAATAAAAAAAACATTCCATTATGATCTGACTGTAGTTACTTAGATATCATAATGATCTTATGAAGGTATATTATCTAGAACTTGTTCTTCTAGGTCTTACCATATTACCCAGGTTGGTTACTGAACAGTAAACGTACATTTCAAGGTTTATGTCGTAATCCCGGCTGTACATTGGTGCGACAGCAGTAAAGTGTTTCCCTAATACAACCAGCATCAACTCAATAGATTTCTGTCAGTAGTTGTAATGTCTGTAAAACACAAAACTAACAGATCAAAAACTACTCACATGAGGACCGTTTACGTGTGACTCACCTCAAGCAATTTTTCCTTCAGCTCTATGATCGCACTCCCAGATCCTTGAGACTAACTCCTAACCCTAACCTACTTTAGATTTTAAGTCTCTTAAGATGAAATTACCTTACGTAGTAAATGTAGCGGGCAAGTAGCAACCATTCCTATACCTCTAACAACACTCGTGACCATCTTGAATGACTAATTATGATACAACTATTGTTTAGATGTTCAAATTAGTAGTTTCCCGATAAGGTTCAAATCCACAATATTTAGTGTTTGTAAATTAAATATTCCAATTGTTTTGTACAACAAATTTAACAAATTCTGTTATTATACTATACTTAGCTTTAATTTATTTTTCTACATAAATATAGGTTTTAGCTATTCAATTGGCTTGCTTCTATGAAATTATCAATATTGGTTATTTGGTTTATCGATCGCATGATTTACCTTGGTTTCGATTATTATCGTGGTATTTTTTGTTTACATCAAATTATTACTTATTTGGTGAAAGTTTAATCGCCCGATTTCGATTACTTTTAGCTAAAGAAGTAAGTTTTCAGGCCATTAATTCGAAAGTACTAGTGATAGTAGTATTATTATGTGCGTGTTTACACATTATGACCAGTCAATCTATAGAATGATTAAGTAAACTGTTCAACTCTCCTACTTTCTTTTTGTTTGCTTGTGGAGATTAACTCGTTTTTTATAATTTTCATTACAGATGGACTTCGAGTGTGTAAGGCGGTTGATGGTAGTTAGTCAGTAGGAAATCCTACAATAACCTAGATTTTGTACTAGCTAACAATCATTAACAAATCATACTCGCAACTTCTCAGCAAATGATGATTCTATGCAGGATGGGGACTTGGGTAACCCAGTTTCACAGTGTGGGGCAATACCAATGAGTTATCTGGACCTTAACTGATTATAAATTATTTAGACCAGTGGTCGAAACGTTATAGGTTAAACACTGGTTTTCCAGATGCAGTTAGTCTTTGATGATGAAAACAATCTAAAAAATCTTCACATTCAGTCAACTAATAGGTAACTTCGAAGAAGTTCATGACTGGTAGATTGGAGTTTAATTGTGATATTAAAACTGTAACGTTGGATGACCATCATACTACACTGTGGTAATATACACTAATAATTTACTGACTTAGCGATGACATGCTCACCTCGAAATCTGAAAGTCGCAGATTTAATCTCAGCCACAGTTATAGTTGTTCACACTGTTAAGGTAGTTTCAGGCCGATATGAAACAAATATTTATTGCTCCCTGCTTTTCGTCAGTTTAAGTCTGATTTCTGATGTAAGCTGTTTCATATTGTTTCGTTCCTCTTAGAACCGTAAAAGTAAATTATTCACATAGTACAGATTTTATTCTTAATAGTTACCTTATATCTTTACACCAGATCATTTTCAGAATAATACTTCTTATAACTAATCAATCCATTATCAATTAGGTTCATAAGTCGGTTCGTCAGTCCACAAGGCAGTGAAGCAACGTAAGGAGGTACAGTCCCATGGTAGCCTATGACCAACAATAGGTTCATACACGGTTTGTTTACTCAGGATATTGGAACCCATGTACACCACTGATTTGGAATCAGTGTTTTCCAACTTCTCTAAGTGGATCTTCCATATCCATGAATTGTGCCGAAAATTTATACTTAAAAAGATAGGAAACACCTTACAGTAAATCAGATAATGTCACAGATTTGTTTTAGATTTTATGACGTAAATTATCTCAGGTTTTTATGGATTATCGTTTAACATTGTTCTGAAGTAATATGAACTGCAGCTTATCGGATAAATTAATCAATTTTCAGGCATTTAATCATATATTGAAAATCCGATCTATCCAGTTCCTTTTTTTGTTGCTTTTGTTATCAGACAAGCAACATATTGTGTAGCACAGAGTAGAGTAATTCATCTTGTACATGGTAGATAAATCAAATCTTTGATCGACAATACTGTTTATAATTTTCCTTTAACCTATTTTATAAATATGAAGTTGAACCATTAAAAAAGTAGATCACATCAAGACGATCACATATATTTTGTTGATGCTCCTCTACTCATGTATGTGTGATGAGGTCATTAGTTATTGATTGTTGAGTTTAACGTTAGGGTTGTTCACAATTTAGACAGCATTTTGAACTAAACGCTTTTTTTGTAGACGAGAGGTGGAAGGAAAGTGTAATTCAATTGTATGTGCTTTATATTCGATAAAATCATCGTAGTTTCAGTGTCTAGGTTTGCTATTATTAAAGCGTAAACATATAAGTTTGAAAAAATATTAACTGACATATTTGAAGTTCTACTCCTTAAAAGAATGTTCGATATACTCTACCGGTAGGTACGATGAAAATGTATAGAGACGTTTGTGGTTGTTACGTCCTTGATTTGTCTACCCACCAATATAAAGAAGATAACTTGTCTCAATCTAGATTAAGACCTTGACATGATAAAATGTGTGGTTTAACCTTGAGGCTAGAATCTCGTGAATTTGAATTTAGACTAACTGCCTTGTGTAGAGAGACGAAAATTATTTTATCACCTGATTGGTTGACAAGCGCGCGCACGAGAGAGAGAGAAAACAGGACGACTGAAACACTACTCGGCTTATTCCCAATTCCGATTCGCAATCCGATCTGGTTCCGATTCAGATTAGGAAAAGTACAATTATGTCCAAAACTGGGGATTACGGTAGGAAAATAGAGTAACAAAGGCTATGTTTAAATTACAATAAATTTGGAACGCAAAAGAGTATGGCAGTGAATCAAACTAAAGCTTATGGTTTATATAATAACCTAGGGAAAAAGCGAAATGTTAGTATTTTACAAGCTTCATTCAGTGAGTGGGCGCTTCCAATTAAAGTGTATCTATAATTAAAAAAACGAAATATTTTCGCGTCAAGCCTTATAGTTTACTGTAATTATGTACTTTCTTTTGTCATCGAGTATGTCGGATTTCACTACACTATTGATACATGTACTTATCAGACAATTGTAACACAAATCTAGACGCTTAACATGAGTTTTCTGTTAGAGAAAAAGAGAAAAGTCACACTATTATCCAGCAACTCACTTATTAAATAGCAATCTCCACAACCCTGTACTGATAGTTATCATATACTCACTAGTGACTAGCCTCAAGAGAGAATTCTCGGAGTCCTAACGAACAGACGTGACCAGTGGAGTTAAACAATGTCAGGTATGACGCAGTTACCCACCAAAGACAATGAAAGATGGGCTCACTATATCATGGATTGATTGAAGTTAGGCATTAACACCATTGAATACCGACTAAGTGGTCTAAAGGTTAATCGTCCATGCACAAAACAGAAGGTCATTTGTTCGATCCTCGCATGCCGGTCGTAAATGCACACTTGCTGAGGAGTCCCATACTAGAACGAAACAGCTGTTCAGTGCTTTGAGGTTGATCGATGGTAGTTTAAGGTTGATTGGATCATGGTTTCAATGAAACTCAACAATCTACACAACCTTATACTGATAAAAAAAACAGAAAAATGACAAATCATTTAAAGCAACACATACACACGTGTTTGTGTATGCGTAGATTTTTCTAATAGGAAAAATATATACACAGAAGTAGAGACGTACAACAGTTTCCATTTTGTTGTTTATTCTATGTTCCTGTTTTTTTTGTTTGTTGATCAATTAGGATTTTCTTCAACCATGGATAACTCATCATCAGTTTATTTCATTTTCATTATATTGTGCTGGGATTGTTGCATTTGTTCTAAGTTTAGTTAAAAGGCATTATATTAAACAGTTTACTTTGGTAAGTAAATATTAATCTACTAATCTATCGTTTATTCATTGTATTTATTTATTCATAGACGGTAATTAGTGTGACAGTTGTGCTATATTACTATATTGAAACCTTAAATGGAAATATTAAACCATAGTCTAAAACTGAAATAGCGATTTTCAGTGGTTAAAACGTTTGATGTTTAGTTACTAAGACTCACAGTTCCGAACCCTGTTTGATCTTTTTCGGTCTCGATAAGTGTATACTAACATTAGCCTTTACACTTAATATGTAACTAGAAACTAATTACACGAATCTGTATCTAGTAAATGAATCACATACACACATTTTTTCTATGTGAAACATGAAGGTAGTAACTTCAAATCTTGGCAGCATGTCGTAAGTGCACGCTGTTGCTAAAGAATTCCAAATCAAAACAAAACAACTATATCCACCCATTTCTATAATGTTTCCCCTTTCAAGTTTAAATCTTCAGTCATTATTGAAAAGTCTCCTTCATATATTGTTATTTTCCATTTAAGGTAATACGGTCAATCTGTTTAGTCTCATTTCCTGTTTTTGTTCTCTAGACAATTTTATGGAAGTTTAACATGTCTTATATAGAGGTAGAGTTAATCATAAGGTATCATTGATTATCATGGGAAAAATTTGGTATCAGGTTGTGAATTTCATTGGAATTATGAGCCGATCTAAATTAGATCACCATTTTAAAAACTGAGAACACTGGATGGCGTTCTCGCGGATGACTGAAGTTCCTAGGGATGATTCCCGCGTGCAGGATTGTGGATGTACTCTATTGAGGAGTTCCACATTAGAACTAATAGACCGTTCAGTTCTTTCGGGTTTTCAGCGATGATCAGTAAATGATTTCATTTTCATAAAACTATAGATCATCAGGGAACACCACTAAACGGTTTTCTCGTCTTGGTTTCTTGAGATCCCATTTATTCACAAGTTATGTGGTTACACTGCGTCACAATAGATATTAACCAACCTATTCAGCGAATGTGGTTATTTATTATTAATTAAAACTGTATTCAATTGTATATCCAGTGAAGAGGTTAGTAACTATCATGTGAGGAGGAACCCTTTCGTTTAACGAAATGGATGTTCTGGTTTGAAGTCTCAGCAACAACACTTTTTACTTTATTTTTATTTTTAACACATAAATATTGGTACAAGGAGGCACCAAATACATATGCGCCACACACATCTCATTTGATATGTGTGAGGGCTGTGATACTACCCGGGTGCCCAAACCGAAGCAGGTGGTTTTCTTAGGAGGCCACACCCGGAGTCTTTGACCTAAAGGTCTGATCCACAAGGCAGTGGAGCGACGTAAGGAGATACAGTCCCATGGTAGCCGGTCACCAATAATTGATTCATACGCCATTTATTACCTCAGGATACTGGAGCCTATGTGCACCATTGGTTTGGAATCAGGGATTTCCAATTGCCCTAAGTGGACTCTCCATGTCCACCAATCCAGTTAAAGTATGGGACACTCGCTTTTCGTCCTCTCAATTTTGTAAACAACACCCGTGGTGCGAGAAGGCAGTGAGTAGGACTTCCCTGGCAGAGGCTATATACGCATGGCCACGTGAGAGCATTTCGAGAGGGAGAGCGGAATCTCCCCACTCTTGGCCGTACCAGGGCATTTAGGGGCAATAACACTTATATATATATCAAAATTCTTCAAATAAGGCATCCTAGATGCACATGGGAGGTTTTAACTACTGTAAATGTTGGTTACAACCAATATCATTTCAATGAGAGAGACAGGATTCAAAAACGAAACTAAAATTCAACACCAACATCTTAATGATTCTGAAGAATTCATTGTACTGTATAGTACAGATGAAAAAAGAAAAGGTAATTTTCAATGTTACATTTGTCTAAAATTACGACCATCATATTTGAATTGTTTCGTATATTTAAACTAAATCAGTTTATTATTCAGCGACTTTATAATTTATGAACGAACCAATCAGATTTAGGATAACAAGTTTTGAATTTTGGCTCGAAATTCATTCACTCATTTGACTGAATACCATTTTGGAATTACAACTGATGTCAGTCCGTAATGAAAATCCTAGATCTAGTTCTTAATTTTAGCCATCAACTCTAAATCATAAATCTAATTCCTCAAGTTAATTCATAACGCTCATTTTGCCCTTGTTAGTAGGTGGAAATACTCAAGATCACTTTAGCATGGCTCAAATATCGTTCATAAACCATCGTTTCATCTATTATTCAACAAACTGACCATTAAACATTTTGAAAATACTGACATACGTAGATAGATAAGTTATGCCGTGACAGCCAATTCATTCAATGATATTTATCCTTCACGGATAATAATAATAATAATAATAATAATAATAATAATAATAATAATAATAGTAATAATAAGCTCACATTAGTTGATTACCTCAAAAAATTTTTAAAGTTCTAGTGAGAAATCGTGGCTGGTGAAGTTTATACCTATTGAGTGTGGAATAGTTGCTACCAATGTTATTGAACGATCACAAATCGATTGAAATCGGTCTTGTTCTATTAGATACTGACCTAGTTGTTTTAATGATTAAGCGTTTGGTGGGAGGATTGAAGTTATTGAATTCACTTCTTGTCAAATTCATAAATGTGCACTGTTAATAAAGTTCCATACTAGTGTAATGAAGGAAGATTCGGGTGAGGTAAACCAATTTACTTTATTAAGCAAGCTCACAAATTACATCTGTAAAATATAAAAACAATACATTAAATACGTCATTTGCACATCTTCCTTGATTTGTCTCTTAGAAGCTCTATTATTCTCCCATTCCTATTACTATTTCTTTCTGTTCTCCTCATGTTCCTCCTCTATCAGTAAGAACCCTACTTCTAATCCTTGATGTATACTACTTATATCTCTCCGTATAAGTAACACACGTTACACTAGAACGAACTAGTTATCCAACGCTCTCCACTTTTCAATGATACCCTTACTGAAATCAATATGTAACGAATAATACCAATAAATTAAGCTAATCTCCATAAAACACCTTCAAATAAATGTCTTGATTTCTGTAGAGAAAAAGGACCCTAACGAATTACAAAAATGGAAATGGTATAATTTGATTTTGTCAGTGTCAATGATTATTTTTCTTAAAAGTTGATAGTCTCTTGTAAAACCATATCAATTGTTGTCCTATAATTTCTTAAACTGGAACTGTTTCTCTCTCTCCTTAGAATAAGTAAATAATATGGCTTGAATGTGTTCTTGGTGTTGAGTTATGCTAATTTCTGCAAAAGCTAGTGATGATACCACATCATGGTTACTTCAACTTAATTAGGAAGAGAAGTAGGGTTACAATTTGTAACTAATTAGGTAGTTCATTTATTGTTGAATATGACTATATTTTTTTGTCAGTATAGGAGGCTTGTGGAGATCGTTAGATATTACTGAGATCACAAATAAACCACAGTTAAGTAACCATTGAAAGGAAGGAAACATTTTACGGATGTTTCGTCCTGGTGTGGGACTCAACAGTGCACATCTGTGACCTCACCGAAGAGGATCAGATCCAGATTCTCTAGGTCTCACGGCGATCCCTTAACCTTTGACCCATTGAGTCACCACCCAATGATGTACATTTCTAACTCAAATCAATTCGGGATATTACCCAGTCATCTAATGCTATCGATGAATAACTGCCGCACACTTGATATGGTTGAACTTCTACCGGTTACGTCTTCTCATTAAAATTGCGGGAATTACCTCTCGGAATTAGTCTTTAATGAGCATATAATAATTGTTCAGTGCTATCTAATTTTTCATAATTGTCTCATGAAGATCAGCTCGTAATCTTAATTTGTTCATTCGTTCTTTGTAAAATTATGCTTTTATTTTGTTTTTGTACGAATTATAGTTTGGATGGACTCATGTTACATTGCTTATTTTCGTTACATCATCTTATTTCTGTATTGAAAATATTTTCAATGGTTTAATTTGGTAAGTTAAAAATAACACGTTGATTTTTTTTTGTCCGTTGAAAACAAAGTTATGTACCGTTTACTATTAGGTCCAGTCAGAGTTAATTGTTAATGGTTATTAGAACTGTTAAACTCAGGTGGTGTTTCTGTGGGTTTCCCACTATCTCCTTTTATGTTTATACTAAATTGTAGATGATCCACTGGAAATTTTTTTCTCCTGGCTTTTCAGCGATCGGTCTCACTGATAAGTCTTCTATTTGAACGCTAGATTCGGTTCCCAAGGTCTTCCAGTAACACCCAGTCTAAATCTACTCAGCGACTTGAACACGAGAAGAAAGGCGCGAAATATGAAAGAACCGCTTTACTCCAAAAAGGTTCGTTAATGTACAGAAAATCTAGGGTTTTTATAGTATTTTAGATGGCTTTGTGTTTCCGGAGAATTCCGGAACGCTACTAAACATAGTAGCTGTGTGTATAACCATCCAATCAGAAACTCGACATGTAACTTCACTTTCTAGGTGTTTCTGATAAAACTCCTATTGAATACTGATTGGATAAGATGCTTCTCAATGTTTTCAGAGCGTTTTTTTTTTTTCGGGTTTTATGGATCTCCCCAACGCTCACACTAGGGGGTTCAGTCATCAGTATACGCAAATAACGTAGCCCTACCTGGTAATGACACTGATACAATGCACGTGTCACTTATGCCCAACCTACATCGGTGAGAAATGTTAGCTAGTGTAAGGATAAGCTGGTAGAAAGGTAGGGGCGGCCAAACCGAAGCATGGGGTCAGTCTACAAAGTTGCTGACCAGTGGTCTAAATCATGTTGATAGATTCGAACTACCATCTGGTTGTTTACGAAATAATTGTAATCAGTGGCTAGAGACATGGGGTGGCATACCTTAGAATTGGTCATGATTGGGCAGATGCTTTCACTCTTTGTGTCCCTCTAGATGTTGAGTTTCGAAATTCCTTCATATATACACTTTTACTCTGTCCTTTCCAATCATTTTCTCAATATCTCCTTGTTCTCATTATCGTTGCTGCTACATCGTTTCGATTATTTGGTTACTCATCTTACTACTTTGATCCCATCGTTATGATACAATATGACAACCTGAGCTAATACAAATATGTGCCAAGTTCTATGTTGATTATTACGGGCTGGCTTCATCCTACTTTTATTATCATTATTTGAACAAATAGATATTGATGCAAAGAGGAAGTAAAATATGTATGCACCGCACAAATTATGGAATTTGTTTGTGAGCTGCCATACTATCTGAGTGCCCAAACCGAAGCAGGTGGTTTTCTTAGGAAGCCGGTCTCCGAGCCTTTGACCTAGAAACCTAGTCTAAAAGACAGTGGGGCAACGTTAGAAGATAAAGTCTCATGGTAGCCGGTGATCAACCATGGGTTCATACGCCATTTCTCCCGAAATGCCCTGGTACGGCCGAGAGTGGGGAGAGTCCACTCTCCCTCTCGAAATGCTCTCACGTGGCCACGCGTATACAGCCTCTGCCAGGGAACTCCTACTCATTGCCTTCTCGTGGCGGGGGTGTTGTTTACGAAAATGAAAAGACGAAAAGCGACTGTCCGGTGCTTTAACCGGATCCAAAACCAATGGTGCACATAGGCTCCAGTATCCTGAGGTAATAAATGGCGTATGAATCAATTATTGGTGACCGGCTACCATGGGACTGTATCTCCTTACGTCGCTCCACTGCCTTGTGGATCAGACCTTTAGGTCAAAGGCTCCAGGTGTGGCCTCCTAAGATAACCACCTGCTTCGGTTTGGGCACCCGGGCAATATCACAGCCCACACACAAATGATGAACTGCCTATAATTATGGAAACTACTTTACTAGCTTCAACTAACAATCAAATGATTACTATTATTACGATTATTATTATTATTTACCACATTATTCACCCTCTCTTATTCCTACTCTGTCTATACTTATTTTGTCGACTTATACAGCAGCTCGTCCTTGGTGGAAATTCGACTGTATCTAAATGTTCTCGAGTCACTGTCCGGTTGAAAATTGTATGTTACCGCCGAATATGAGTACTGAAGCAGTTTTTCTGAAACCACGTGCACCATTCAAACTGGCTGCCTTCAACGTTCGCACACTTATGCAGGTCGGACAACAGATAGGGCTGGCTATGTCTTTAGAAAGTCTTAATATCGATGTCTGCTGTCTATCCGAGACCCGTATTCAAGACTCTGGCGAAGTACTACAAATTCGATCTCCATCTGTCGCTTCGAAAAGCTTGTTTTACGTGCGCTTATCCGGGGATCCTGTGGCATCTCCGTCTGGTCTTGCTGGCGTTGGTGTCGCACCAAGCGCTAGAGCTGAGGCAGCACTAATCGATTGGATCCCCATTAACAATCGGTTATGTGCTGTTAGATTAGAGAGTTCCATCTGGACTCTGACCATGTCTTGGTCTGCGCCAATCTTACCTTACTTTTCGGTGGACAACAAAGTGACCGCCACCAACGGATTGATGTTAGCAAGCTGGTTGCAACTTCTGTTGCTAGTAAGTATCGAACCGAGGTAGTTTCTAGGCTAGCTACCATTCCACCGAAAAGTATAGATGAGCATTGGTCGCAATTGCATGACGCCATGAAAATGGCGGGAACAGTCAGTTGTGGGTTCGCGAAACGTCCCGCTTATAAGCACTGGGTTTCTTCTGGTTCCTTACAACTCATTGAAGCCCATCGGTCTACTCCGGGTGACCGTGAGTTTGACCATAAAGGAAGGATATTACGTAAGGAAATTAGGCAAAGCTTGCGTAAGGACCGAGAAGCCTGGTGGTCGGAGCGTGCTAATGAGCTGGAAGCAGCAGCTGCATCTGGTAACTACCGGAAGCTCTTCCAGCTCATCCGAGCCACTGGCAGCAAGAAGTCTGGTGTGAGTGAAACAATCTGCGAGGATGATGGGATGCCAATCACTAACATCCATCGACATCTTTGACGGTGGGCAGAATTTTTCGAAGGGCAGTTCAACTGGCCTTCTGCCCGGGCAACATCCGTCGGACTGTCCTGCCCTCCATGGCCGGTGACGACTGATCCACCAAATGAGGAGGAAGTCCGCAAGGGACTTCAACTCTTGAAGCGCTGCAAATCACCTGGCCCAGATGACTTACCTCCGGCTCTTTTCAAAGATGGTGGTGACTTTCTGACTAAGGGACTGACGGCGTTGTTTACAAAGGTCTGATAACTAGAGAGTGTGCCAACGTCATGGAATGAGTCGACAGTTGTCTCTATGTTTAAAAAGGGTTCACGTCGTTTCTGTAACAACTATCGGGGGATAAGTTTACTTCCGATTGCATCCAAGCTATTGGCTTCCATCATACTTCGTAGGTTGTTCAAAACCCGAGAAAGATTGACTCGCGAGGAGCAGGCTGGGTTTCGTTCTGGTCGAGGATGTATTGATCATATCTTCACCCTCCGCCAAATGTTAGAACACCGCCATACTTATCAAAGGCCAACAATCGTAGTGTTTCTTGACATCAGGGCTGTCGTCGATTCGTTGGACAGGACTGTTCTCTGGGATTGTCTATTGAAGAAGGGTGTGTCTGCGAAGTTTATTAACATCCTAAAAGCCCTATATGCAAACACCTCAGGCAGAGTGAGGGCATACAACCACCTCTCTCCATTGTTCCATTCGAGCAGTGGGGTTAGGCAGGGTTGCCCAATCTCACCATTCCTCTTCAACTTTGCCATCGATGATATTCTGGAAACAGCTCTGATGAATGTAAGTAATGGTGGTGTGGACCTGTTGCCTGGAGAAAGACTTCTCGACCTTGAGTATGCGGATGATATTGTCTTACTGTGCGATAATGCCCAAGCCATGCAATCCGCACTTAATCAGTTGGCAATCAGTGTCCGTAGGTATGGTATGTGCTTTGCACCTTCGAAGTGCAAAGTACTTCTACAAGACTGGCAGGATTGTAATCCTGTACTCACCCTGGATGGTGAGAAGATAGAAATAGTCGAGAAGTTCGTGTATCTGGGTAGCTGCATAAGTGCTGGTGGGGGTGTGAGTGATGAGATCAATGCACGAATAGTGAAAGCCAGAGCGGCTTATGCCAATCTGGGCCACCTTTGGCACCTTCGTGGTGTTAGTCTGGCTGTAAAAGGTCGGATCTACAACGCGTCGGTGAGAGCAGTTTTGCTCTATGCTTGTGCAACCTGATCTCTCCGAGTTGATGACGTTAGACGACTCTCTGTGTTCGATCATCGCTGTCTCCGAAGGATTGCCGACATCCAGTGGCAACACCATGTCAGTAATGCAGAGGTTCGGCATCGTGTGTTCGGGCACAGAGATGATAATTCAATTGGTGTCACCATGTTGAAACACCGACTTCGGTGGCTTGGACATGTTCTCCGAATGTCGTCCCAGAGAATTCCACGTCGTGCATTATTTGCCGACTCTGGGACTGGTTGGAAGAAGCGGAGAGGCGCTCAGTGAATGACATGGTGTCGTGGCATGAAAGAAAGCTGCAAAGGACTGGCTTGTGTTGGTCTTGTAGGACTCCCTGGTTAGGGTCCGAGAGATGGTGCTGCACAGTGGCTAGAGACGTTATCACATATGGCTCAGAATAGAAGCCAGTGGCGATCCTGCTGTAACCTTCTTTTACTTTCTTCATAAAAAGTGGTTGTGTCTTCCTTAACTAAAAGATTTCTTCTGATTGTACACTACCTTACACCAATCTCTTCGTTATTGTTCTCTTTTTTTACACTCCTTACCTTTATTCTCTTCGAATTCTCATTGTTTTGTGTGGCGCATATATATTGGCGCTCTCTTTAACCAATATTTATGTGTTCAAATAAAATAAATAATAATAATAAAATAATCAGAATCCTGAAGGTCATGTAGACTATTAGTTCGGAACCAGAGTTTTTCAACTTTCCTAGGTGGACCATCCATAACCGTTAACTCGGTCACGGTGTCGGACATTTTTCCGTTTTCTTAGTTTGGAACACAACACTACTGCCATGGAAAGGCAACGTGTATATACTTTAGGGAATCCTCAGCAGTGAAGTACGAGAGTTAATCCATACCATTGTGATCACTTAGAGTTAAATGGGAAAATTGTAATTTTTAGAGTCAAGTGTGATTCGATTGTTAGTTAGTGGATGACAGTTGCACATTATCTCTTAATCTGATTAAAATTGAGATACCATTTGATTCCGACTTGATGGTTTGGAGGAGTTACGTTTGCGTTTGGATCCTAATGGTTCTGTATCTAATTCTATATAGAGTGTAGTGTGTGTACACATAAATTTTCCCTTCACTGGAGTACTCATTTTATTTTTTGAATCATTATTTCAGTAGTACCAAGTTTGTTGTTTCTTAGATATGTATCGAAAAGCTAAAAAGAAGCTTTTTAATTAACCAGCTAGTCAAGAATCGTCAGTTTTCTCTATGGTACTGGTGTATTAGGATTCGAATCTGTGATCCAATTGTAGAAATTAGAATACTTTCTCATTTTAAATACCACTGCCTAAATCGAATTAGTTGGGAGCACAGTCCGAATCCCTTGATGTGGTAGTTAAAATCTGAACATCTGATAATTAAGCTGGAATCGTTTTCATTGTAACATCATGGTCGAAGATTTTACAACTAATCTATTCTAACTGTAAAGCTCAAAGTGTATCTCAATATTAATTAATAATCTCAAGTCAATCGATAGAATTCGACCAAAACTAAAGAACTTTACAGCCTGGTAGTTGGAGGTGGTCGACAAGAAATCTTATACCCTAGATCTTGTACTATTTGACATTCGTTAACATAGCTTGGCTGAAATGTTGAGCCAACTAATACTTTCTATAAGATCCAAATCTTCTTCATTTAGCTTCACTATTTGAAACATTAACACTCAGCTATCCGACCAATAATTGAATTCCAATAGGACTGATATACAGTCAAAATTATTTGATCACTGAGTTATAATTAACGATGATCAATTGGCTTTTGAGGATTGTTTCCCCAACTGTTAGCAATAATAATATTATTATCTAAAGGTATTTTTAATGGGAAGAATACTATTGAGAGTTGTATTTTTAAATTCAGTTGATATGCTTTTACTGAATGATCATATGACATGGAACTGTCAAGAGTTCATCGTTGTTATTTTTTGATGTTGATTATTTACTGATGATAAGAATAATAAAAATAAAAGTCACTTAATATTTGTTTATAACTTTCATTAAAAAAGTAAGTAAACACATAGTGGAAAGCGAAACGAAACGTATTTAACCGCTGCACTAGTCTCGGCTTCGATTTCCGCATGAGTTGTCGTGGATACGCGTTGTTGAGGAGTTCATTGCTGGGACAAAAAGGCCGCCTTGTGCTTCCAGGTTTTCAATAGTGATCTAGCTAAGATTAGTTCGTGATATCAACTATGAAAATACTACACTATTGTTTGTTTATTGATGACTGTTCAGTTTATTTGGTTGTGTGTTGTGTTTTTTGTTGTGGACTGAAAGATTCAATTGTGAAGCTTTGATGGTCATCCTTTCACAGTGCTATCATCATCATTATCAATTCTCGCTTCATATAGATTGATGATTCTGTCGGTAAATGATTTTTCTTCCTGAAATTTTGTCAACTTCATTTATCGGTATATTATCGGTGAGTAGTTCACTATGCGGAGCTCTTGCCACATAACAGGGGTGAGCTTTTCCATTGATTTTGATAAATAAACGTCTGTCTCCTTGTACAGTTAATAACGAACTTATAAAAATTGTAAATTTTGCAAATGCACTGGTACGACCGAGGGTGGGAACAGTTCTCTCTCCCTCTCGAAATGCTCTCATATGGCCACGTGCATACAACCACTGTCAGGGAAGTTCTACTCACTGCCTTCTCGCGGCACCGGTGTTGTTTACGAAATTGAGAGGACGAAAAGCGAATGTTCAGCGCTTTAATCGGGTTAGTGGGTACGGAGGATCCACCTAGGGGAGTTGAAAACCCTGATTCCAAACCAATGATGCACGTGGGCTCCAGGATCCTGACGGAACTAATGGCGTATGAACCAATCGTTGGTGACTGGCTACCATGGAACTGTATCTCCTTACGTTGCTCAACTGCCTTGTGGACTAAACTTTTATGTCAAAGTCTCAGGGTTTGGCCCCTTAAGTAAACTACCTAGTTTGGTTTGGGAACCCAGGTATTATCATCGCCCACACAATAATCAAATGACTTGCGTGGCGCATATGTATCCGGTGGCCCTTGTACCAATATTCATGTGATCAAATAAATAAGTAATAATTGTAATTAAAATTTTACGTAATTTTTGATTACATTGATCCTATTTAGTTAGTAATCCCGTACTGATCAGGCAAAATTTTATTGATATAAAGTAATCTGTGTAATTTAATAATCAGTTTTGATTCATCTGCGTAATCCAACACTTTGTACATCTGCTTTTTATCTAACATGGTGGAGTTTACCTAAGTGTTGTTTGTTTGTTTATTTATTTAGTAGTTCGTAATGATTCAAACTTGTAATTTTGCTAATTAAAAACCAAATATTTAATCTGTTGATTAACGATAGTTTATTATGGAAGTCTGATGACCAACGTACTTTCCGGTGTTGGTCGTCGATAAATTGAGGTAATACTACAACACTTTAGTCAGTCGTTAGTCATAAATATCATAGAACCTGGGACATACTTTTGCACTGATGTAAGTTGTCACATCACGTCAGCGCAAGATTGAAATTATCAAGGTAAATAAATACCCGAGTGGTAGAAGTGTGGTGTGAGCTACTTATATTGATATAAGTAGTATATAACGTGCGTTAAAAGAACGTAATGTCCGGCAGCAGAAGATGGCGAAGATCAAGAAAGGAAGAGCAAGAGCACAATGGAATTGTAAGAAAACGCATGTACAATGGAATGGGAGACAATGGATTAGTGTTTGCAACGGGAACAGTACAGTTTGATATGATGGAATGATATTTTGCAGATTGACGATTGACTTTATGGTATTCACATTTTATTGAGATAGTCTGTAATTTTTGTGCTAAATACAATCGATTGTCCCCACCCGAGTTCTTGTTCACTACAGAAGTACTAACGTTAGTATAAGTATTAGTAAAGAAAATATTGGGTAAAGAAGATTATTCGAGGAGGAAAAGTGAGTTCTTGAGACAAAAAAAAAGTTATAAAGTAATTTTATAATTGAAATTTCTAGGAAAATACAGAGAGTGGATACATCTACTTTCATTCCAATCGATTATGATACAGACACTCAACATCTCTATCCACTGGTAGTTTGCATTTATCAACATGGCTCAAACCAACAGTCAATAATTTCATGAACTAATGCCATGTTTTGGTTTAGCTACTCCTAGTTCTCTTCCAATCTACCCATACTCCGGTCAACGTTGGATGTTGAGATAACCACGAGTTAGAAATACATACTATATGTCTCAACCACCCTAGCTGGTTTATTATCTTTACGTTGTATTTTATATCTAATCCCAGCATTGTTCGCTGACCTCTGTTGCAAGATTGATTGATTCACTCTGACTGATCATTGTTCAGAAATATAGTATCGATAGAATTTAATCAACATTAAAGATTCGAACTACATGACACTGGTTATTGCTACTCAGTGAACAATTTAAGCTTAGTGATAAGTATGACCTTTAATAATCCCCCAAAATGACCTTTAGAGTGTAAAACCAATTTTTGGCCATTCAGAATTCAATTTAATATAAATGAATGGTTAGTTACACTACTTACTTACGCCTTTTACTCCTCGTGGGGGAGCATAGGCCACCCACCAGCACTTTCCATCCAACCCTGTCCTGGGCAGTCCTTTCAGCTCTTTCCAGTTATTATTCATCCTTTTCATATCTGCTTCAATTTCCCGACGTAATGTGTTCTTTGGTCTTCCTCTTTTCCATTTCCCTTTAGGATTCCAAGTTAGAGCTTGTCTCGTGATAAAGTTTGGTGATTTCCATAATGTATGTCCTATCCATCTCCATCATCTTTTCCTAATTTCCTCTTCAGCTGAAAGCTGGTTTGTTCTCTCCCACAGTAGGCTGTTGCTGATGGTATCCGGTCAATGAATGTTGAGTAACTATTTATAATTACTTGTACCTTCTTGATGATGGTTGTAGTAGTTCCCCAAGACTCAGCTCTGCCTGTAGCTCTTCTAGAGTTACTGCAGGTCCCCAGCCCGGGTAAAGGAGGAGGGTTGGGAATGAGGTTAGCGACCTCATTCCCTAGAAAACTAGCTCTCTAGAAAAAACGCTAACTACATAAATTACATAAAACTTTCGAAAAGTGTTTAAATTAAGATTAAGAGTTAAACTTAGAAATTATAATTAAAATTTGAAGTAGGATTTTATGAGTTTAAAAAAATACTTTTCTTAGCTTATTCACTTAGCTACAAGCTATTTATCATTGTCTTCTTTATTTAAAAAAATTCCTCGTAAAACTCGAGTAACTCCTATATTAAATCAAATTATATATAGAGATGAATAGTGGCTAATAGTGGAATCCATAACATACATTTTGTCCCATCTGGGATTTGTCAGCTTCAACATAACCAATACAAAAAATGAATTAAAACAGATTAGTTTCATCAAGTAATGGATAGTTTTATCCTTCATCTTTCTATACACTTATTCTTTTCTTCATATATCTGTCTTACAGGTTTCTTTTACCAGTTTGTCTAGTTATATGCAATGATATTATGGCATATGTATTTGGATTTTTCTATGGGAAAACACCACTTATTAAATTGTCACCGAAAAAAACATGGGAAGGTTTTATTGGCGGTGGTTTATCCACTATACTATTCAGTATATTACTATCTTATATTTTATTAAAATATGATTATTTTGTATGTCCAATTGAATGGGATGATACAAAAGGTTCTTTAACAATGAATTGTACTAGAAATCCTGTATTTATAGCACAGATCTATGATTTACCGAAGTATTTAGTAAGTTTCCTTTTTATATTAATCATCACTCATTTATGATGTTCCAATATTTTGTTAGCTATGAGGAATTTTATTCATCAGTTGTTAGTGAGGTGTACTATTTTCAAGTTGGCTATTTCTAATCTCCCTCCAACGTTGCGGAAAAGGCAGCATCGCCACAGATGCTAGTTGTATATAGAAAAACATCTTACTACTTTCCCATCGGGTTATGAGCTTGTTATTTTTCGTTTTACTTTTAACAAACCTGGATGGTATGGTAAGACCTAATGAAATGAATGCTCCAGCCAGTATAGATTTTTGCAGACCGTTGTTGGATTCCAAAATAATCACATGATAGTGATGCTTGTGAAATATATATCTTACTTACATTGTATATGCTCTGTTTACATATCCCTCTAATGACAACGGGATATAAAAAATTGAATACGAGTGTTTCGAAAGTTTATACTTCATAGATTCATTTTGAAAGATGAATAAAGAGATAAGAGATAAAGAAATAAAATCTGTCAACTCGATTTCATCAAGCGTGATCCACTACTTATAGTTCGACAGAAAATAGAACTAAAGACATGTGATGAAGAAAGTATGTGATAAATGCGCATACACATGTGCTCTTATAAAAAACGGTTATAAGTGAATAATTGGCAAGGTCAAAATATATATAGATAATGTGTTAAAAAGAACAGGTTAATTGTTTTGTCCAAAAGCCAGAATGACCAATATCGGTATGACATAATACTAGACGCTACCAGCTCAACTCAGTTTTCGTGATATACAAATCCAACTATTGTGTCATGATTACGACTACTATCAAGGTTTATCTTTTTTTTTTCAAATTTCCTCACTAATGGTTAGTTTGGGAATGATGTGCTAACAAGAAATATTAACTACCAAATTTCAACCGTATCTATTTTAGTCAAACACATGGTTCCGATAATATTCAATAATAATGGTTACACTAAGTTGTGTTGTTTGAAGTTGGAAGTGTCGACCTCTCGGGGGTTTCGATCCAATATAAGTAGTAGTAGTATGGTGTGTGCTACTGATGTCGACAGATATAAGTAGTATGTATCACCAATCGAAATTGAAATGCCTGACGGCAGAAGATTAAGAAGATCTAAGAGAAGAGAACGAGAACAGATAATGATTGCTGTGGAAACGAAAGGACAATGAAGTCTGAGACGATTGATTAACATTTTGCAAATGAAGTTTTTACTGTATGGTTCTCAGATTTTACTAAGTTGTTCTGTAATTTTGTATTCAAATATATTTGATTGTCCCATCTGTGTTCTCGTTCACTACAATAGCAGTCGTCTATTAGTTACTGGCTTCCCGGGAAACTTGAACATTTTGGATTGAACTCCATGTGACCAACTGTGCATACATCACACTTTTGAAATGTCTCAGATATATGAAGGCATAACATTTGCTTTATTTGTATACAAATTGAAATGATTTCTTGTTGATATATTTATTTTTTTAAATATTTCATTCGGATGGTTTTTAGTACTGTGTTTTTCTTCTGATTTTCTTTTCCTCCCGCCTGCATATATATCTATGTCTGTATATGTATAGTTCTTTCTTCCAATACGTCAAATCACTTGGTATCCATTCTTACAGCATTGTTTAATTATCAGTATATATACATCAGTTGTTGGACCATTTGGTGGATTCTTCGCTAGTGGTTTTAAGAGAGCATTTAAAATTAAAGATTTTGGTGATTTTTTCCCTGGACACGGTGGTGTAGTTGATCGTTTTGATTGTCAATTAATAATTGGAACATTTGTATTATTTTATTATAATTCATTTGTTCGGTAAGTTGTTCAATGTTTCTGTGCATCTGTGTGCGTATGTACACACACTCTTCTTGTCTCTATGGTTTATATTCAAATGATAGGACAACATTTTCTTCACTAATCATTATCATCATCATATTTTTGTGTGCTGACTGGGATACTGGAAAAATACTCAGGACAAACTAGGTGATTTGTCTTACGATCTAATCCACGAAGTAGTAGAATAATGTCAATGAAATTTAGTTGCATGGTAGCCAGCAACTAAAATAGGTTTGTAGATCATTTGTTTCTTCACAATCCTTGATCCCACTATTACACTATTTAGTTTGAATTCAGAATTTTATAACTACCCTGGATAGCGTTTACTTCGTATCCACTACAAAAGAGCATTTTGATTAGAAAAGTGGACATTTTCCACAATCGGTCACACAAGATTACTTATGGGGCAAGTATCTGATTACTTTTTGTAGGTATATTGTCCAGTAATGACATCGAGATTGCATAATTCATCTAATAGTTAGGAATTGTCAACTGGATTCCCACTGTTGATGTTTTCATTGGAACTAGAGTTTAAAACAGATCATTTATGGACGAACCAATCAGATATAAGATAACGAGTCTTGGATTTTGGCGCGAAATTTATGCATACATTTAGCAAAATATGATTTTGGCATTATAATCGATGTTAGTTCATGATGAAAACCCTAAATCTAATTTCTAACCCTTATCATCAACTGTAAATCATACTTCCAATTCCTCACACTGGTTTATAACCCTCATTTAGTCCTAGTTATGAGGTGAACACTCTCAAGGTCACTTGCTTTAATGTCACTGAAATATTGTCCATAAATTATTGTCTCACCCCGACAACAACGAAAAAAACTTTTTTTAACTGTTGTATGTTATTTTTTTTAATTTTTAACACGAAAAATATCAGATTTTTATTATTTTTAATTAATGTACTTTTATACATGGCGATTGTAATTTATATGAACACATGTATATGTATGTAGTTGGGTACCATATATTGAATTGGTTTCTATATGACCTGCTAATTCATGTAATAATTGAAATTAATCTGTTATAATGTTGTTGTACAGTATAGTTTCTCAGAATTTGGTAATGATTTAATATGTAATCAGTGTATAAGTGGATTCAATTGACTAATTAAAGGGAAAGATTCAAATTGAGGAAGAAAATTTATTGACTAAGTGATTCAGGATATATATGTTTTCATTCATAGATAAGTGATTTTTTTTATTAGTTTGAGACAGTTCAGTATTTTAATTGACTTTTATCTGACTCCATTTAGATGGGACGACGTAGGGCTCATCAGTTTAGTGGCCTTTTATTTGACTCCAATTGGATCGTACGAATGATTACTATCGAAATATACACCATTAACCCTCGTATATTATTATCGACTTAACTTGCGTTAGTGAATAATGGCTCATATACTTTCTCCTATTCGTTTCGTTTTGCTCTCTCTTCTTTGCATTCTCCGTTTTGTTATTGTGATCGACTGTTCAGACCAACGATTGTGTGAAATATACATATTCGAAATTCACTCTCGTATTTAACTTATTTAATTCCGTTATTCACTGACGCGATGATAATATACTAGGGTTGTCGGTATGTATATTTCGATATTAATCATTTGTACGTTCCAATTGGAATCAGATAAAGGGTCATGCTAAAGTAATTATCTGTAATTTTGCAGGAACTAGTGGGTCCTTAGAAAATTTAAATAAGTTATACAAATTGAACATTTGATTGGTTGGAAAAACAGAAGCACTGTTAGGAATTGAAATGAATGTATACTAACTAGATGGTGAAATACTCGAAATATATAAGAACTTGTTGTGACTTGTGGATTGCAGATTCGAGCGCAGCGAATTGCCGATCGGACCAAAGACGCATAAACACATAAGAACGGCCTAGAGTTCTGATTGGTCCCGCTTGCCTGTCTAGCCCAGCCAGTTCAGTTCAGAACTCAAGTCTCAGCCTCTGAGATATGAGTCGTTATATTTCAAACATACTCTGTTTATATACCAATCAACCCGACCACAACGTACCAATAAAATAGAAAATAACATTTGTACAATAATTAGCAAGATGTGTCTGTGAATGAGGGAGGTAGCGATTAACGGACAGGGAATAATTCATGAATGGTAAATCGTATAATAATAGTTCATAGGTCAAAATAAACCTCATAATAAGAGGGGCATGAATATGAACAGTTTAGTTACATAACAATTATACGATAAAAATATACTCATAATATTGGTCCATAAATGGATCCCAAAAATTACCTTTCATTATTCTTATCGGGATACAACAGAACTATTCTGTCAACTTTATTCAAATGCTCCACATAGAAAAGTGAAGTGTATATAATGATTAGGGAACCACGAAAATGCGTATATAGACCACTGATTTCACTTGTAACTTTCATTCAGTTTATGATAATCTATTCACTATGTGTGTGGAACAGTGACTTACTCGTTAAGGCATTCATTTTTCATCTAATAGTTCGTAGGTTCATACTCAGCTTCATTCAATTTAGTGTGTTCATAATATCGCTGGCGTGGTTAATCTCAAATTGATCAATAAATTAAATGGCGTTGGAAATAGTCTGTAGGTAACCAACTATTAGAAATCATACCGAAACTTAATGGGTCAGACAATCGTTGCTTGTTTACTTGATCATCACGAATCTACATAATTTCATTATTCACTAAAAATGCGATCGATCATGGGACATACATCAGATCAATCAAAATTCAGTGAAATTATGAAGTGACCAGGGAATGACTTTCATTTCAGAAGACTGAGACATATACCATTAGTGGCTTAACTTTGAGATAATAGAGAATATTTGTAGCCGAGGATGGGGACATTGAAGATGTTATGTGTTTTCTGAGCTAGATAGATTGTTTAGTTGTAAAGCTTTCATTGTCCTTTAGGGCAACATCATCATAAAGAAAGAGAATGAATGATTCACAACTAAAGTCGTCCATCCTAGAAAACACTATCTTATATATATATATCACATATGTAATGGGATTCAGATTTATTCTGCATAAATTATTAACGTTAATCCTCTTCGTTTTTCTTATCGTTCACGGTTTCTTTTTGTCTCAGAACTTATAGTCCTGTTTCTCTGTTACCAAAAATCTACATTTTACCACCAAATGCCCAAATTCTATTTTATCGTCTACTTACGGATGGTCTTTATAAACGTGGTCTACTTCCTAATCAATTAGTAGATGCAGTAAATGAATATTTACCATCTCCATCAGGATCAAGTTCAACAACAATACGACCAACTAGTTCATCGTCGTCATCGTTGAATAATGTTGAAGTGTAGAAAGTATTTGAAAAAAAAGATCAACCAATGAGAATATAAGCCAACAAGTGAGTGTTACAAACACACACACATACATACCTACATGCTTCTGTATGTTTGATCGTGTGTGTGTGTATTTGTATTTTATTAACACATACACACACACACTAGAGCTACAGACATTCATGTGCGTTTAACTTATTTTTCATACAGAAAGATGAAATATAAAATTACTTCGATAAAAATACTTCTACTAGTGGGCTTGGTGATTGTTCAAGTTTGAATTTTACAATGAGATTCCGATTAAAAATGTGTTGTTGTTCTCCCCCCTCCCGCTCACTTTTACCATTATTGTTATTATTCCTATTACTTATTTGCTAACATGCTTTTATTGTATACTTGCCCCTCGCATAGATAAGTGTATTGTAGATCATTAACATAATGAGATATGCACTCACATATATACATATATATATATATATATATATATATATATATATATATATATATATATACATATATATATATAAACCGCATACAGACACACACACACACAGTCACGCATTATGAGATGTACGAATAACGTTAATAACTAGTCCACTTTACATTGAAATTTGTTTTCAACTTTTAAATTAATTAGTAAATATTTGTTGTACTACTTACTAATTTGTACTACTTATATATAAGTAGTATGTGTTGCTAGCTGAATTGAACTGGAAGAAATCATTAAATACAAGCAGAAATTTAAAATGTGAATCATGAAAGTGTCAATACAATTGTGTTTTAACAGAATATGTAGAATTTGTTTCTTGTTTATTTTTATTGTAGAAAATAAAAATAAGATACTGATTTACTACTCTATTCAATCCAGTCAATGTAGTACTGTTTTAATTGATCATCATCATCATCATCATCATCATCATTTATTTTGTATTGTTCACTTATGTGGTGCATTTCCCTCTCTCTCCCTCTCTCTCTCTCTACGTGTAACCGGCTTGTGTCTGTTTACATAACCTCATCATCATTATTATTGTCATTGTCAGTGTTATTATCTGTTTTACACCCGTATATACTACTTACTATACACTCATTAACATACATTTTCTTATCAATAAGAGAATAAAAGTATCAAACATTAATAGGGGCGGGAAGATTGTTCCTATTTCTATTTAATTAGAGTTATGAATAATACTGTTATGTCATTCAATGATATATTCATTCTGTGATTTCTTCATTTAATATCTATGTGATACATATTGATGGAGTGTATCAATTTGACAGTGTGCATATATACATATATGTGGATATACATTCATATTTTCATAGATGCTTACAAAAGTATTGTGTTTTCTTTTTCTTTTAATATTTACATTGTATCCTGTGTCACTTTGATACAGATGCATTTAATAAAAGTAATGATCTTTACACATATATACACTTCCACTTAATCAGTATTGACACTTTGTTGTCTATATATAGTTTAATGATGGATTATGTTAATTCAATTGTTGATAGTCTTATTATGTTTCCTGCTTGGAAAGGCTGTATGGTCATTTTTGTTTCATCCATCAAGGTTAATGTGAAAGTGATATGATTGGGCTAAAATTGTTGTTCCTTGAGTATTATGGTCATTTGCTCTGTTTTCTCTTTAAATGACTTAAAAAGAATTCATGTTCCATGATATGAGTAACCAAGACGTGATAACAAAAGTTTCCATACATCTAATAGTATTGGAGGTTATCTAGTTCATAACTAACTAATAAATTGTGGGTTACTTCCTATGCTCAAAGTTCAGATAAAATTTATTGTGCTTATCTCAATTTATATACAAATCAGTAGTCGTTAGATATTTCAATCAAATTCAGTTTAGGACGGCGTATATGTGAATGTAGTCTGATTTAGTAATGAATATTTTATCGCCTTATAGATAAATGTAAATAGTTTCCGAGGGAATTGAAGGTACTTTTAAATTGACAGCACACATTTTGATCTAGAAATTCATTTCTTATTGCATGATATTTCTCACAGTATTTGTTGTTATATTTTTTTCTTAACTGAGATATTACTTAAATGCTCAAATCGGAATCGGTGATCTTAAGGAATCAATTCCTGAGCCATTGGTCTAAGAGACTAACCCACATGGAAGTGATGTGATGCGTGACGACACAATCCTATAGTTAGCAGTTTCTTTTTCCCAGGATCTTTCAGCTTAATTATACCACTGATTTGATATTAGGATCTTTCAACTCTTCTAGTTTAACTATTTGTATTGAAGAATTCGATTCCAGATCCAGAATTCCACTATCGTTTTCTCATATCATAGGGTCTGTTCAAAACAAGGCTTCGTAACTGTATAGGATTGGTATCTGTCAATTTGTCACAACTTTCTAACTAGGATTCTAGAGATCATTCAACTCAATGGTTCTCAAGATTTTAATAGACGTTGCTCAAAATGAAAATTACTGATAATTTTGTTGTAGTTTTCGTGTACATTCGTGAATAGATAGAAGAAGGAATTTCATTAATTGGAAAGATCATTTTTGTTGGTTGTGGGGAAAAATCTTAAGCCAAAGCGAACTTTCAATACAGTCCTATTTCAAGTTACCTTTTATATTTTTAGTGTGTAATTATTAAATAATTAAACTGTCATATTGTTGTGTTGCCCTACTTGCAGGCCTTCGCTTCATGCATAGACTAATGTTATGTATTTTACTTCGCCTATGTTATTGTCAATTTATTAAGGACCTATCATTCAGTTCTCTTTCACTTATGGAGCAGTTATGGCCATATTGTAGTTTCTTAATTCTGTTGATGTGCATTCGGGATTTTGTTCCATATATATTACTGTATTAGTGATTCATGAGTTCCATCTGTGTAATGAGCTATCTGCTTGCTAAATTTTGGTCGGTTCTACCTGTCGAGTGAGTGAATGAGCGTGGAAAACTGCATTTTGAACCAATGGTCATCTAGTTTTACTATATGCTGTCATCTCACATTTATCTTGTCATTGGTGCTAAATGAACAGTCTAGGCAAGCAATCGACACTAGGACTAGATCAATATAATTGATCTCCTGTCTTACGGTTCAATTCCATGGGTCTCAAATAAACTTAACAAGAGAATCTGTTTATTCTCACCGACACTAACTTTAAATGGATTGTATCGTTACTTATGAATTGTACAACCCTTCTATTTCTCTATATTACTTGTCATTTTTATTTGTAAAACATTTAATTTTAGGTGATAGCTAGAAGTAATCGATAGCACAATGTGGATCTGGGTTTTGTGCTAGTTGACATATGTCAGCAGAATTTACCCTGTGATATCCAGGGGCTCGATGTACCCCGGTGGATTCGATCTCGTGTCATCCAGCTTCTTATTCAGACACGTCACTGAGCTATTTGTGTAGCAACTAGTTTCTTGTAGGATTTAGATGTATTTACGATTGGACCCCTGTGATACGGCGTCGAATTCACCAAGAGGTATCAATTCTCTCAAGATTAATGAAACGTCTGGATGACGAGTGCCAAAAAGCGCGAAATCTTTTTCTAAGGTATCCTAGCAACTACTTCCGAATGCCACTTTACATCCCAACATAGTGCACGTGATGTTGAGTCAGTTAGAGTAGTGGCCGCATTGCTACCTGATCCATAGGACTTTATCAACACTAAATAGGACTTGACGTGCATGACATCGGTCGCTACTCAATGACGGATCAACTGTATAAACATCGTTTAACTAACTGTTGTATCAGGATTTATATGTTATGAGTAAATAAATATTACAATGGTTGAAATCATGAGTCAATTGAAGATAGACCACCATGGAAAACCCGGAAGCACTGGACGGCCCTTTTGTCCTATTATGGGACTCCTCATCAGTGTGCCCCCACAATCCCGCCCCCTCGAGATCCGAACCCAGAACTCATCAGTCTCGCGCTTAACCATTAGACCACTGAGCCGGCCGGCAGCCAACGCTGTTAATATCTAATTTCAACCAATCCACGAAACTGAGCGACATATCCAGTACTTCCAGGTTTTCCATGGTGGTCTAGCATCAATTGACTCATGATTTCAACTATTGAAATTACTAAAATCTCCACTAAACCCCGTCTGAAATATTAACCGGAAAAACCTCTTTTTGTAAATTGATTATCTGTTATAAATAATAAAACATCACATTTATGGTACAAATCAAAATCTCCAGAAATACAATGCCACTTTAGCAACAGTGAGAAAAAAAAGATAAGTTGAACAATATACAGACATCTTGAGTTATTCAATAAGCTATTGAAAGTAACCAAAGATAATTTCTCAAGTGATATACTCATTTTCCAGGCTAGTCACTCCATTATTATCTACGTTAGTTTGTTAAGGTCACAATATACATACATTGCTTAATGTTTGACTCAATCAGCTATTCAAATGTGAAAAAAGAAATTAAGAATGGTTCTTAAGAAGCTTTATGCCCAAAATTGAATGATCATGTATACAAATTATGCGTAAAGATTCACACGATATTAATTGGTCCAGATGAAAGCACATAGACTGACAGGTCCTGGGTTCGAATCTCGTGAGGCGGGATCGTGGGCGCGCACTGCTTAGGAGTCCCGCATAGGACGAACCTGAGCAACATATCCAGTACTTCCAGGTTTTCCATGATGGTCCAGCTTCAATTGACTTATGATGTCAACTATTGGAATTAGTATAATATTCACAAAACCCCTTCTGCCATAGAGATTGGCCATGATTGGATGAACAAATTACCAACAATATACCAGTCACGTCTGGATTTTATCGAGCAGAGGTCTAGTAATTTGGTAAACATATTGATAACTTCAATAGTTGAAATCATGGGTCAATTGAAGCCAGACCACCATGATCTCAACTATTGGAATTACTATAATATCCACAAAGAACTCCTTCTGATATTAAATTTATAACTGTTAAAATAAAAATAAAACGACAAATATGCAGTGATACAAAGTGTGAATGAGGGATGGCTCATCACGTAAGCACTCGACTGATTTGCAATCAAAAGCAACATCACTAAGCAGGAAACTAGGTTATTCTATGTAGTAAAATAATGAAATCATCTATAAAATATTAACGCAAAAAATGATATAGCAGAGTATCATTGGTGGTTAGATATAATTCAGTTGATAGGCCAAACAATCTTCAAACAGTTATCTCAGTAATACTTGTAATGCCTTGGAGTTCGTGTCATTGGAATCTCATTCAATCAAGTATTTATCCCATAATAGACAGTATAAAGGATATAGCTGATTTTCCAGTTAAAATCATCGGGACTATCTAGTGTATCATTAAATTTATCAATGGAATTATCAAATCTAAATACTATCCTATCGGTGAATACTTTCAACAGTTTTGGTTTAAATCGAACCGAAGAATTGACAGTACTTGATTACCCATTTGTGATCAAATCTCTTCTTCACTTGATGACCGTTATTTAACATCATAAACATGCATATCCAGATTTCACCAACTAATATCAAAGTTCAGACATGGAAAACAGATAACAGTCACTGAAATCAACACAGTATCAAACTCAGAAAACTTCCCATGTATTCTGATTGGTTAATAACAAAATCTTACGATGTCATTTTTATAGTTGGCTATGATCGTAGTATAGTATAATTTTATAGGATCTAACATGTAGTATTCATGAAAATCACATGTGTATCAAGTTAAATTTGCTGAACGAAAGTATCAATTCTTGATAATAATAATAATGTGTGATATAACTTCAAAACATTTTGGAATAATAGACGCCACATCATTTATTATAGGAAATACATTTAACAGGTTCAATCTCAAAACTGTTCATAGTTTGCTTTATTGAATGTATCTGAAGCGATAATGTTTATAATTAGATGAATATGTTTTAATTTGCTGTATTTTTATGAACATTTTACATAAATACTTCTTTGGTCGTTTTCTTTTTTACCAAACAATAAATAGTATTTATAAATGCCAAAATCGAATTGAACGATTGTTATGTATCGTCTGGTACGGCCGAGAGTGGGAAGAGTCAGCTCTCCCTCTTGAAATGCTCTCATATGGCCACATGAATACAACCACTGTCAGGGAAGTTCTACTCACTGCCTTCTTGTGGCACCGGTGTTATTTATGAAATTGAGAGGACGAAAAGCGAATGTCCCACACTTTAACTGGGTTGATAAACACGGAGAGTCCACCTAGGGGAATTGGAAATCCCTGGTCCCAAACCAATGGTGCACATAGGCTCCAGTATCCTGGGGTAACAAATGGCGTATGAATCAATTATTGGTGACCGGCTTCCATGGGACTGTATCTCCTTACATCGCTCCACTGCCTTGTGGATCAGACCTTCAGGTCGAAGGCTCCGGGTGTGGCCTCCTAAGAAAACCATCTGCTTCGGTTTGGGTACCCGGGTAATATCACAGCCCTTACACAAATCGAATGGTTTGTGTGGCGCATATGTATCTGGTGCCTCCTTGTACCAATCTTTATGTGTTTAAATAAATAAATATTGTCTAGTACTGAATGATTGTTCTACTCATCCTGACCATTTTAATGAATATCGGAATATGAAAGTGTATTGCCTTTTTGCTGTAGTGTGAAAACAACTCGTCTTACTTTTAAAGTAAATCAGTTTTTATGTTTGGATTCTTTGATTAGAGATTGACTGGGCATGATATTGAATAAGATTGAACTCGGAGGATAGAATTTGTTGATTCGATGTCACATGTTAGACATATTTATTTCGATGTAAACACTTTTATTTTTTCCAAGGAACTAAGAAGAGAGATTTGGTATGATAAAGGTCAATTGTATATCTATACTATCTAGCCCATTTAAAATGCTACCAATACAACCACTAAACGAAACTGATATTTGTTTGAAACTCAATAAAATAGCATCTCGGGAAATTGATTGATAATAATCCGAAGCTGTATGTCATGTCATACTTCACAAATCGTGTCACATTTTGTCAGATTATTAACAGTACCAATTGAAGTAAAATAAGAGTTTTGTTGTCGTGGATTATTTATTATTTTTGTAAGATAGTAGAGATTTATCGCACTAAAGAAGGTTTATGAACTAGCTTATTCAACTCCTTAATTTAGTCTTCATTATTCATTAATACTGTAGTGTGCACATCTTTCATGAGAAATTATTTCTCTTCTAATACTAAGCTTCTTTACAGTTCTATGTTCTTTTGTGATTAGCCGAATGAAGTCTTTTTTCCATAAAGTCACATGTACCATTATGTAAATTATTTTTTCGGTAGTTCTCTCAGAGTCGCAACACCCAAAGCTTCGAAAATATCTAAGATCAAATATTTATGACTACGATGAATAGACGTAAAAAACTAAGTAAATTAATACATGATACATGACTGTGCTTATATGCCATCTCAGGGTCGAACAGTAGTTGAGAAATGCTTAATAAAGCACACTATCGGATAAAGCTAATTACGGCGTTTATTCATTTCAGTCTCCTTAATCTCATAGCAAGTAAGAATAATTAATGTATAGGAAACATGTGTATCTGTATATGAATCAGGCGATTGTGAAATATAGAACGACGTTTGCATTTTTCACAGTATTCTGTTTTATAACTGGTAACTATAAATCAATTAAGAACTGATTACAGATTACCAAATTATAGTTGTAACTGGGTATTTTGTTGGGTATTTTTTTTTGTGGAAAAACTTGAGGACATTTTTTTTTACATTAAGTTACTCCAGCTGATTAGCTTTCAATCGATTATATCTTCTCCATTCCATTTGCCATTGTCGAAGTTCACAAACTTCTGGGATTTTTCTTACCTATAAGTACAAGAATGAAGTATTTATTCATAAAATGAAATGTGGTTAGAAATAGAACTTTTTTTTCGTATAAACTCACTTAGATGATTTTAAAAATAATCCAAATCACTGAGTAGTTCAATCAGTTCGTTATAAGCAATATACAACCTGATACATGTATGCATCGAATCAAGTTACCATGTCTTATCAGTACAGTAATTTTATTTTAACACATAGATATTGGTACAAGGAGGCACCAGTTACATATACGACACACAAACCATTCGATTTGTGTGAGGGCTGTGATACTACCCGGGTACCCAAACCGAAGGAGATGGTTTTCTTAGGAGGCCACACCCGGAGCCTTCTACCTGAAGGTCTGATCCACAAGGCAGTGGAGCATCGTGAAGAGATACAGTCCCATGGAAGCCGGTGACCAATAATTGATTCATACGCCATTTGTTAACTCAGGATTCTGGAGTTCATGTGCACCATTGGTTTGGAATCCAGTTAAAGCACCGGACATTCGCTTTTCGTCCTTTCATTTTCGTAAACAACACCCGTGGTGCGAGAAGGCAGTTAATAGGACTTCCCTGGCAGAGGCTATAAACGTGTGGCCATGTGAGAGCATTTCGAGAGGGAGAGCGGACTCTCCCCACTCTCGGCCGTACCAGGGCATTTGGGGGCTAAGGTGAAGATATCAATAGAAATACTACAGTAATCAGTAATGACAGTATAAACTGTAATGGAAAAAATTTGGCATAAACTTTATGATTTGAGAAGTAAGAATGATTTCATGGTATAAAATCTTCAATCATTTTGGACTCAAGACTTAAGAGAAGACGAACATTCAATACATTTGAGTCACTATGAGGAATGTCAATCAACATCTTCTTAGAATCCCTCCGATTTACTCAAACACAAGCTTATATTGCAAGTCAATGTATGTGGTGATTGTATATACTCAATAAATGTCCCAGAAACCTGAGTCAATAATGATACATAGTTATATCAACTATCTTGTCTAACCTCAGCACTTATAGTAAAATATGTAGTCTGAAAATCATAGGTTTGTACATTTACTCGTCATGTACAAATGGTTCCGAGTTAGTTATACTGTAGTGAACGAGAACACAAGCTGGGTCAATCAAATATATTTGAACACAATATTATCGAACAACTTAGTGAAATCTGAGAATCATACGGCAAATACTTCATTTGCAAAATGTCGATCAATCATCTCAGATTGTGTATTCACATAAGATATTTCAAACTAGAAGAAACTACTTCAAATATACATTAGTACTCCATGAATTCTACAGTTCTTCTTCAATTGTTACCAATTCGTATTAATTGCTATCTATGTGCCAAACAATTATTAGCAATCCTGTTAATTACTTAATCTTTAGTTTTCGTTGACCATCAGTATTAACGATTATTTGTACTAATAACTGTGTTTCTCCAATCAGAATAGTGTTGATAAAAAGCAAGTGGACATATAGGATTTCTCATTTGAAATCAGTTAGGAAATTCTATAAGATGAAGAGATAAACCATAAAGTGGTAGTATAACGGAACAACTATACTGAATAACATTTTGTTTAAGTCAAACAGTGATTTAATGGTTGAATTAGTTCACCAATAAGTCACATATGTTTAAACCCCAGTCTAACTACATCGTTTTAAGCAGACAGTTAGTATCTCTGGCCGCCATACAAACTATAATTAAATATTACTCACTTACTAAGTCTACATTTATGTTTTCAGAGTTCAGCCACACTTTTTCAAACCAACATAAGTGGAGAGAGATTCAAATGTCACTTATTATTAATCGAATATACACATATAAACCGGTCACTAAAAAAATCGATTTGGTGAGACTATAATTAATGGACGAATCAATGAGATTTAAGGTAATATGTCTTGAACTTTGGCGTAGAATTCATTCATCCATTTGGTTATATAGCATTTTGATATTTTAACTGATATCAGTTCGTGATAAAAACCTTAAATCTAATTCCTAACTCTAACCATCAACTATAAACCATAATTCTAATTCCTCACATTGGTTTATAATCCTTATTTAGCCCTAGCGAGCAGATAAACATCCTCAAGGTTACTATAGCGTAGCTCAAAACTCGTCCATAAATTATAATCTTACCATTGATTTAAGGTAAAAAAACAAACTTTCTTCGATGGAGATTTGTTCTCTGAGCTGGGTGGTTTGGTCATGAAGCTTTCATCGTTCTTTTGAACAACATCTTCAGCACAAAATTCAGGTGCTGATGGTGTCATTCAAAAGAACGATGAAAGCTCCCCTAACAAACCATCCAGCTCAGAAAACAATACTTCATCAAAATCATCCACCTGAGCTACAAATCTTCTCCACCATCTCAAAAACTTTTTTAAAAATGTCATTATCAAGTATCTATGACAAAAGAATTAATATTTTAATTCATTCACTAGAATGGTTACTATTCACATTGATGACACGTGACGATGATAGAAGTTTAAACCAATGACTGAACCCTTCCATCTCAAGGTCATAAAATATAAATTCAGGCGAGATTATAATTTACGGATAAGCCAATCATATTTAAGATAACAAATGTTGGATTTTGGCGCGTGATTCATTCATCCATTTGTTCTAAATATCACTTTAGCATTATAGTTGATGTCAGTTCTTGATGAAAACATTGAATCTCATTTCTAACCTTAACGTTCAACTGTAAATCCTAATCTTAATTCTTCACACTAATATATAACTCTCATCTAACCATAGTCGGTAGGTGGACATTTCAAAGTTATTTTAGTATTACTAAAAGGTCGTGCATAAATTATGATCTCACCAAAATTTATATGACCATTTTGCAATGAAGGTCAAACTGTTAAATTCAAATTTTGTTTATGTTAGAATAAATAAATAATGTATGAGAAATCAACAGATAGTAAGTCAGTCAGTCAGCTACAACCTAGGACCAGGCACATATATGCATCGATCCAAGTTACCATACCTCATTAACACAACAAGATGAACATCAAATTCATAGAGGTAGTCACTTAAATGATAGTCATGCATTAAAGAAAGAATGTGTATATGGATATAATACAGGAAGAAAGAAAGGTATCAAGTAATTTTAATCTCTTAGTTTAAAGGAAGACAAAGAGTGCATACACCTAAGCCAATGTGATCGATTCTGAGCCATATCACTGACAGTCTTCAACCATTGATTACGATGGTCACACGGACCCCAACCAAGTGGTCTGTATCTACCAATATGGCTTAGACTAGAAGTGAGTGACTTCAAGGAACGATGCTAAGTTTGGGTTTGGCTGCCCCTAACTTTCTTCCAACCGTCTTCAACACTAGTCAGCAACCAACATATAGTACTTTATATTGATTCGAAAATATCGTTTATACGAATTTATTTTGTTAGAATAAACACAAAAACGTAAATTCAGTCTTTAAAGTCTAAGATATGAATTCTTTTGTTTTTTTCCCATTTTTCATTCTTACAAAACTATCTAAATCTGTTATTTAATATAATATACCCTTGTGGGCGAGGGTAATTTTACATTGGTTTTCAGGAGAACCAGACACCATCCAGGTTTAAATTTTATAACCCGAGCAGTACAGCTCAGTCCTGCTCCACAGGAGAACCAGACACTATATAGGCTTTAACGCTACAATCTGAATAGTACAGCTCAATCCTATAGCGCAACCACATAAGCACCAAGCACCCTGGTGGAACAAATCTGTGGTTTTTTTTAATAATTATCGCAGATTAAATGAACAGAGCCAAACAAAATCCAGAGCAACATTTCAACGTGATAATATGTTAAAGATTTGAAGGAAATGAAATAATGAATACATTAGTTGTTTTGAAATTTAATGTTTCCAACCACAAAGTTTCTATTTTATTCTGGAGTCAATTGAAAATCCTCCAGTCGGATCTTTCTACTGGTACGCATATTTTGAATCATTACCAAGCAATTTCATACATGTTCATGATATCGGGAAATTGTTACTCATTAATTAAATTTCTATTCTGCTAAATGTGTAATGAACGAACGTTCAGTTGTGAAAGAGCAATTTATTGTCTGTTGTCAAATTGCATAATGGTTTAGTAAAATGTGAAAATCATACATCATTTTCATATTCTCTCACAAGTTTCATTGCTCTTTCATTTCTGTTTTTATTATGATTGTTTTCAGTTTTTGTTATATCCTAGCGAAGATGAAGTTACCAGTAACTTCTGAAACCTATTAATCGACTAATATTATCTATATATTGTTATTGTATAACTATTCAGTAACTAGACTGTGTATATCCATATTCCTCTTATTATAAGCTTCATTTCGACCTATAGATTATTATTGTACGATTTACTGTTCTTAAGTTATGTTCAGTTTATTGATTACAGTCTCCCACGTTCACAGCCATATTTTGGCTTTATTTTGTATAAATTGTATTTCCTATTTTATGGTGCATTGCAGTCTGTTTGGCTGGTATATAAACCAAGTATGTCTGCGGCAAAGTGGAAGCTGTTATTGTTGTTTTGGACTCAACTGGGCAGGTTAGGCGAGCAAAGGACCAATAGGACGCTAGGCTGGCCAGACCACTCGGACGTCATTGGTTTAGTACAGTACAAGAGTGAATAAGTCATATTTCGATTGGCGAATAAATCACATGATAACTAGCTGGACTTAAAGTCACAAAGGTTTCCTTCCCTATTCTGTTCATTTCAATATTCTGAACCTTATGCTAGCAGACATTTCACATTTGAAAGGTGTTGCATACTATTAATATCTGCAAATATGAGTAGCATACACCACAAATGAGTCAGTTTAATTCAATTTTTCCCACATTTTAGTAGTATTATAGAAGAATGTGAAAGCAAAGTGATAAGATATAAATAAACTGATTTCAATACTATTTGATCCCAGGTATCGCTGGACCTAAGTTCCATGGTAATTCGATTTCATCAGTAAGACACATCTGAAGTATTATTAAAAAAAACCTTGATCGACAGACTTTCATCAATACTAAGGCCTGGATAACAATACAAATAGTTACTAATTATCAACAACTTAGTATAAAGTGAGTATTAGTTTAAATAAAGTAATGGCGATTAATAAATCTAAAATCTTCCTGCTACTAATTCGAAATATTGGCCTCTGTTTAATTTTAATTTAGCGCAATCTACATGAATTTCAAGAGTTGAGATCATGAGTCAATTGAAGCTAGACTACCATGCAAAACCCGGACGTACTGGACTGCCTTTTCATTCTATTGTGAGACTCCTCAACATTGCGTACAATAGGACGAAACGGTTGTCCAGTGCTTCCAGGTTTTCCATGGTGATCTAGCTTCAGTTGACTCATGTTCTCAACTATTTATAGGTGATCTGTGAATATAAGCAATATAAAAGTGTCTACACAATAAGCCTATATCATCAATAAAGAGTAACTAAGAAAGTTCTGTAAAAAATTAGCAAGAGAATCACAGGAGACAAATGATAATTAATATAACGCTATAATCTAGTGATGGAAACTGTAGTTATTTTTAAAGTGGTTAATGTCAGTAGAATCAAGCATTTTGACAAAACAACATTAACATTAACACCATTGGAGGCCGGCTCAGTGGTCTAGTGGTTAAGTGCTCGCGTGCGAAAACAATAGGTCCTGGGTTCAAACCTCGCGGTGGCGAGGTTGTGGATGTGCACTGACACTGAGGAGTCCCACAATAGGACGGAACGGCCATCTAGTGCTTACAGGTCTCCCATGGTGGTCTAGCTTCAACTGACTCATGATCTTAACCATTGAAGACAATATTTACTATTTATTCCACCCGGAATGATATGACTTTCATATGTGTTTATTTTTAAACAAAAAAGTAATTTTTATTTATCATATTATAGATGGAATATTCAAACAATAAACTAGGCTTAATGTGTAATTCTGCCTTTATATGACGTTCTTTTCCCTGTATAATAGATATTTCAAGGTCGATCTTGATTGTGTTGCGTCAGGAGAAACACATTTCTCCAGTAGGGTTCGTTGTGATCAGCCTGTTATGTTTATCTATTCGTTTACCTATATTGTGAGTAGGATTGATGACTTTCTAAATAGCGATGGAGACATTCAACAGTAAATAATAGCCAAGACCTTAACGCTTACTGATCCTTGAGCTCCTTTCAACCTAGTAACCAATTAGAAGATGATTGTAAAAAGCAGATCAATTCTCTATTGTACTTAATTCAATCATAACACAAAAACTCATACAATAATATGCGTAAAATGTCTGACCACATAGCAACACAATTAAGAAATCATGATATGTACATAATTCAGTCATAAATGATACAAAACCAGAGTGATGCTGGAATAATTAATCAGTAATAAATCTGGGACGATAAAACATGTGACAACGTTTTTTAGGTCAAATGAAAGTTTAGAAATAGGCGGATATAAAAAAAAACAGATCAGCTTAAGCGTTTACTAATTATACAATAGTAATATTAATAATAATAATCCTTCATATGATAGTCTCACAAGTAATACTGTCACATTATACAGACTGAATTAAATACGATATGATCTCTTTTTCTTTCAAGATCTTCCTAACTGTTGTAAATGAAATAAATGAAACTGGTATAGCCACTATATAGAGATTGATATAGTTTAATACAATAAAGAAGACAAGATTGCAAATGAAGATCATATTATGCCCTATAACAGTAAATAAGAGAAAAAACAGACCTAACCAGTGAACAATAACAGACACTAGACAAAACACTTTTAATTTCTTATATCTAGAGTTAATGTGCATCGAATGATGACAGTTCGTCAGCCATCAGTTGAGATGGTTGACACACATATTACATATTCCCAACCACTGACTGTTTTATGATTTAGGAGTAGGTTGGAAGAAAGCTAGAGGCGGACACACAAAAACATGGCATAAATCCATGAAGTCAGTGAAAAGTGGGCTGAGCCTTGTTGGTAAGTGTAGACTACCTTGTTGGCATCCGCGAGATGATAGCAGCCGATGGTTAGAGACCTTGAATGACATGGTTCAAAATCGTTTACAATGGTGCAGATGCATCCACTCTTTATGTTCTCCCAAATTCTAATCTTCTGAATTCTTCATTTCCCTTTCTTTTTTCTCTTTCCAAACTTATTTCACTGGATTATACTCCTTGAATAACATGTTCAAAGCCTAATGTTTCCGATTACTGCTTATACTTTTACTACCTCTACCGTTATGGGATTTGAATCGACAATTGTATCTGTGTGTTGATGTGGTATGGCAACTTGAACTGATGTACGTACGTACGAATTTCTACGTTGTTGCTGAATAACCAACTGAGCTAGAATGACACAGGTACTCAATGCTACATAATTTCTATTAGCTGTTTATCGATGGTTCAATTGTAAACACAATAAAGATTGAAATTTGCTAACATATGAACACATTTTTAATCATGTTATTGATTTGAAATCGGTGAACATGAAGTATACGAACGACCTTGACCTACTTTTTAGTCGAACCGACAACAGCTTTCAACTATGAAATATTTTAGGATGAAATTATAACGGATGAACAGATTGAACATGAATGATAAACTTTTATATGTGATCTATTATTATCGTTATTTTCATTATATTAGTTATCATAGAAGGAAGGCTTTTGTGGTAAAAGTATAATTTAAGAACAAATCAATCATAATCGAGAATAAGACTTTTAGATCTTTATGCGAAATTCAAGCATCGTGTAAAAGGAGCAGTAGAAATAAAATAAAAGTATACTATATAGACGATCTTAGACGACTTATCAGTCAGTCAGGAATCAGTACCTAGTTATGAAACAACTAACAATACAAAGCAATGAAATAACAGTGGAATAATAGCTTTGATCTGAATAATTAACCGTCAAAGACAAATCATCCATTGTGATAAAAAAGGCGGCACGATCATACATATATCTATATATTAGGAGACGTGCTAGTGTTGTGAGTTTAGTTTATAATCCCACAAGATTTTCATGACCAACTGATATCATTTGTGATATCTAAAGGTTAGAGTTAGGTATTAAGAGTCAATCTGCATCAGTAGGCCTCAGTATACAAAAAGGATGAAGTAAGATCTTCAAATACGACACGGAGAACACCAACTCGGTCACACTTGATGGAGAAACTCTGGAAGATGTGGAATCTTTCATGTACCTGGGAAGCATCATTGATGAACAAGGAGGATCGAATGCGGACGTAAATGTGAGGATTGGCAAAGCAAGGACAGCATTCCTACAATTGAAGAACATGTAAAACTCAAAACAACTGTCAACCAATATCAAAGTCAGAATCTTTAATATGAACGTCAAGACAGTTCTATTTTATAGGACTGAATCTTCTAGAACTACTACAACCATCATAAAGAAGGTACAAGTACTTATAAACATTTTTCTACCCAAGATACTCAATATTCGTTGACCTGATACCATCAGCAACAGCCTGCAGTGAGAGAGAATAAACTGACTTCCAGATGGAGAGGAAATAAGGAAAATATATTGGAAGTGGATAGGACATACATTGAGGAAATCAATAAAGTGAATCTCGAGGCAAGCGCTAACTTGAAATCCTGAATGGAAACGGAAAACAGGAAGGCTGAAAAACACACTGCGTCGAGAAATGGAAGCAGATATGAAAAAAAGCAACTGGAAAAGATTGCCCGGAACAGAGTTGGATAGAGAATGCTGGTGAGCGGCCTATATTCCTCCAAGAGGAGTAACAGGCTTAAGTAAGTAAGTAATTAAGAGTTGAACTGGAATTTTGAATTAGGGTCAGGGTTAATGCTAAATATATTTTGTTATATCCCAATGAGTAGAAAAATTGTATTTCTGACGTTTCGTGACTTAATGTAAGCCACTTCTTCAGAGTAAATAAATAACCGACATTAAATTAACACGCCAGTCAATGGTTAAATACGTTAGATAAAAATAATTTTAGAAGAAGTGTATGTGGCTCAGATACTGACGTGTTAGAATCAAAAGAGTAAAATTTGGTTAGTACGAAAATTAACCAGTAAGATATTACAAATATTTATTCACGTATTAACTTACAGATTAATTAATAATGAATATTATCGTATAAATTATACAAATCTAACTATTGATCTAACTGTAATTCAGTCACTTATTTCCGAAGTCAAATAAGTCCATATCATCAGACTATGTGTTCTCACAACACCTTGTCAGGTTTGAGTCCTTCAGTAACAAACACAAATTAGTTAAACATTCCTCAGATAGATGACATTGACAGACATAACAGGTACATTCACTCTTTATTTCGCTCTAAACCTTGGTTTCTCCGTTCACATCTTTCCACTCCTCTTTTAGCTAACATAGAATAGATGAAATATGGCTAGTATTGGAACCCAAGGATAATGTTCTGTCCTATCTATGACTCATCAACTGGATGTATTTGCATCCCAGAGTTGATGTGAACTCCAAGACTCAAATTCAATACTATTCAATTTAAGGGTTAATAACGGAATTCAAGACATTTGTTTCATACAATTTATAATTCATCAGCTGGATATCTTAAATAGTTGAATTCATGAGCCAACTGAAGCTAGACAACCATAGAAAACCTGGAAGCACTGGACGGCCGTTTCGTCCTACTATAGGACTCCTCAGCAGTGCGCATCCACGATCCTGCCTCCTTCGGTGAGATTTGAAACCAGGACTGATCAGTTTCACGCGCGAGTGCTTAACCATTAAACCAATGAACCGGCCGGCATCTAACGGTGTCAATATCTAACTTCAATCTCTTCTGATAATTATTTAAAAGAGTTACTCACCAGATAACCTCTCCAATATGATTGTAATTTAATTGCTGCTTCTTCATCTGTCCATTGTAAACTAAGTGGTAATGGTTTACGTGGATGTTTTTTCAATTCTTCAATAACCCATGGTATATTTAATATGTGTTGTACATTTTTACGATCATAATCTTCTTTCATGTATAGATTATTTTTATATAAATAAAATGTTAAAAAATCCAATCCATTGAATCCGAAACGTTTTTTCTTGAAATTTTCAAAATAAAGTAATACAATTATGTGTTTAAATGAAATATTCAGGGGGAAAAAACAAAGCAAACTAAAATTCTTTTCAGACAGAATACATAAACAATCGTACAAGGAGGCACCAAACAGATATGCGCCACATAAATCATTCGATTTGTGTGAGGGCTGGAATATTACACGGGTGCCCATATCGAAGCAGGTGGTTTTGTTAAGAGGCCACACACGGAGCCTTCGATCTAAAGGTCTAATTCAAAAGGCAATAGAGCAACGTAAGGAGAAACAGTCCCAAAATAGCCGGTCACTAATAATTGGTTCATATGCCATTTGTTCCTTCAGGATCTTGGGGCCTATGTGCACCATTGGTTTGGAATCAGGGTTTTCCAACTTTCCTAAGTAGATCCTCTATATCCACCAACCCGGTTGAGGCGCCGGAAATTCGCTTTTCATCCTCTCAATTTCGTAAACAACAGTAATGCCCACGAGAAGGCAGTGAGTAGGACTTCTGTGATAGTGGTTTTATGCACGTGGCCATGTGAAAGTATTTCGAAAGGGAGAGCTGACCCTCCGCACTTTCAGCCGTACCAGGCCATTCGGGGGGGGGCGTTAAAAAAACAACTTCCGTTGATGAAGAGAATTAATTATTTCCATAAATCAGTCAATTTTTATAGGGTTCAATGTTTCACCTAAACTTATGAAGATATTTTCAGTAAATAAGTGGAATTCATACAACTGCAAATAAATATTAAATTCACTTGGTATTATTTGGCTTGTATCTTCCCATTGAGGTTTAAGACTACAATTGATCAGTCTGTTATTGGCATATGTGCATACTGTGCGTATGCCTCGATATTGTCCCAGAGTGAACATTAACTCTGAGATGCAAATACATCCAGCTGATGAGTCCCAAATAGGACGAAACGCTCGTCCTGGATTCCACTGCTAGCCACTATCCATCATTGCTTACAAAAATACACATAAATATTAATTTTCATTTTTGGACAATTCGTCATTTTGTGATATTCTATGATCAATTCTCCATTACCAAACAGTAACAACCATCTTATAACCATTCACTATTAATCAAGTGATGAATATTAAAATGATAAATTCCTAAAGTTTGTTTCATAATGATTGACCCCCTATCGCTAGTTTATTCAAGTTGGATATGTATGTCATTAGATATGACCACAATAGTATAATGATAACAAAAAAAATTACACCATCAACATTCACTGTTCTACGTTGAATTCCATATGGATAATGATTGTATTTGTGAAGTGATAAGAAATTCTTAAATTTAAACAAGACAACTGTTTACTTCTTACTAGTTCTTAACAATTGTCTTGTTAAAGTAAATCTCTTTGATAATATCATCAATTATCTTTCTTTATTTAACTTGAACAAATTCCACAAACTTTTCATTTTAACTTATCATTTCATGTTGAGACTTATGCATTATTCAAATTGCTTGGAACATTTAATTTAGGCAATTCTTCAAACAGATACACTTATTGTATGAATTTTAGATTTGTTATTCTATACAACACACTAAACAATGTCTGTGTTGCGTAGAGACAATTATCCACTTCAAACAATGAATGAATGGTTGTACAAAATCTTGGATGGATTAAAGTTAATACCATTGGATGCTAGACCAGTGGTCTATTAGTTAAGCATTCATGTGCGCAAAACTAAAGGTCTTGGTTTCGAGTCCCCTATACAGAATCCTTGATATTGCACTGTTGAGGAGTCTCATACTAAGACGAAACAACTGTCCAGTCACTTGTAGATTTTCAATGGTGGTCTATCTTAAATAGATTCATGAATTCAACTATTAAAGTATCTGAAAATGTTAATCATTTCATATATTTATATATGTTCTTTCTTGCTCAATAAATAAAACAGATAATCAATAATTTGAAGGTCATTTTTCTTCTAAACCAATCATAATACACGATTCATGTTCATATAATTTATTATCTAATTTAATACAACTGACTTTCTATTTATAGATAAGATGATAAATGTTCAATGTAAATTTCTATTCATTTTGTTTGTTTTACAACAGAATTACTTCATGTGATCAAAGTCTATCCTTTCTATTTTATTTATTGTTACCAGATCTGCAAATGATAGAATCATATTATACTAGTTGCAATCATGAGTTAATTGAAGCTAGACAACCAAGAAAAACCTAGAAGCACTGGACGGCCATTTCGTTCTACTACGGGACTCCTCAGTAGTGCGCATCCACAATCCCTCCGGTGAGATTCGAACCTAGGACGTATCAGTCTCGCGCGCGAGCGCTTAACCATCAGACCACTGAGCCGGCCGGCTTTGAATGGTGTTAATGTCTAACTTTAAATAATCTACGAAATTGCGCCACCGTACACCATTTTCTTCAGTGAGGTGATATCTTACAACAGACCTGGTTGAACTCCACTGGTCACGGCTTCCCACTAGAACTCCAGGAAATGCCTCTTGAAGTCAGTCACTAATGAGCACATGATTATTGTCAGAAGGAGTTTTGTGGAATTTCACTAGTGAAATTTCTAAAAATCCCCACAAAACCCCTTCTGATAAAAATCATATTAATCATAGTTCGCCTGTATTTACACACAAAATAGAGTATAAGATATTCGTAAGTTACTAGTATTTGATCATAGATGCCTTAGAAATATTACTCGCATCTCCTGGGATCACCGAGTAAGTAATAGTCAGGTTAGATGCAGAGTATTAAGTAATGATGGTAGATCAGTTGATGAGGTTGTCAATCTTCATCGACTGAGATGGTTGGGTGACGTGTTACGTATGCCTGAACATCGATTACTACGATGCTCAATGCTGACTAGTGTTAGGCATGGTTAGAAGAAAGTTAGGGGTGGCCAAACCAAAACGTGGAATCAGTGCTTGAAGTCATTAACTTCGAGTTTCAGCCATGTTGGTAGATGTAGACTACTTGGTTGGGGTCCGCGTGACCATCGTAACCAACAGTTGGAGACTGTGTGTGACATGGCTCAGAATCGATCACAATGGCGTAGGCATATACACTCTCTGTCTTCCCTTAAACTAAGAGAATAAAATCGCTTCATATCTTTCTTCCTGTACTATATCCTTACATAAAATCTTTCATTTATATGTTACACCACTGAGTTAACTGCTTCTATGAATCCGGTGTTCATCTTGGCAACTTGGACCGATGCATATATGTGCCTGGTCCTACGTTGTAACTGAGTGACTGACTGTATTTATACATATATATGTATATACTACAATTCCCTTTTCCTCAAAGCAATACTTCATTTAATCAATCAATGAATAAGTTATTCTATTCATTTGATATCTGTTATTTTCCTTTTAGAATTTTAAAGATTCATATTGGTGATAATATTAACTATGTTTGGATTTCATCTGTTAATAGTGAAACAATCAGTGGAAACTTCAGAATTAATTGTTATGTGAGTTATAAGAGTGAGACTACAATCTATGGACGAACTAATCAGATTTAAGATAACAGATCTTGGATTTTGTCGCGTAATTCATTCATTCATTTGGTTAAATACCATTTTGGCATTATAGTTCATGTCAGTTCATCATGAAACACATTGAATCTAAATCCTAACCCTAATGTTCAACTGTAAATCCCAATCCTAATTCTCAACAGTAATATATAACCCTCATCTAAACCTAGTAGGTAGGTGGACATTTCAAGGTCATTTTAGCATTGCTCAAAGATCGTCCATAAATTATAGTACCACGGTTATAAAAAAAATACTTTTTCCTGAATGTAAATACAAAGAACGTAATAAATGAACAACCTTTCATCATAGTGTTTCCCCTTGAGAAATTTGTTGAATATAATTTAATCGAAAACAGATATAACTACAGATTTTACATTATCACTAACAGATTGATAGAAGTTCTTACCAAAGTAAAATCGATTCATGCTTATTTCTAATTGATCACAGTGATTATTGTAATTATTATTATTATTATTTGTATCTGTGCTTAATCAATAATTGAAACGTATATTTTATTCATTGTTTCTATATATCAACTATTTCATAATATGAGGTAGGTTGTATTAATTTATTATATATTATCATTTATAATAAAACATCATAAATCAGTAAGCCAAATCAATTGCTTATTCTATGTCTTCTATCGTAACGAAGATTAAATAACGAGTAACTTCTGAGATCTATTAATGGATCAGTATTCTATATATATCTATCCTTTTGTATAACTATTCAGTAACTAGATTATGTATATCTATATTCTCCTTATTATAAGCTTTCATTTGACCTATAGATTATTATGATACGGTTAACTATTCTTAAGTTATACCCAGTTTATTGATTACACTCTCCCACGTTTACAGCCAACTCCGCCTGTAGCTCTTATAGGGTTGCTGCCGGTCCCAAGCCCGGGTAAAGGAAGAGGGTTGGGCATGGGGTTAGCGTCCCCATCCCGTAGAAAACTAACTCGCTAAAAAAACGCTTACCAGAAAAAATAATCCAAACCATTTTAACTCTGCCCTGGGAGTTAGAAAGTCTTCATTTAGAAGAATTATGACGCTTCATGGTGAAAGCCGAGTTCCTTCGGAAGCCACGAGGCCGATGCCCCTTCTAACAACCAGAGCAAAAATTTTTATAGGTACACGGAACGTTAGAACAATGTGGGAAACCGGGAAGACCAGTCAAATATCAATGGAAATGAGGAGATACAACTTAGCAGTACTGGGAATCAGCGAAACCCACTGGACCCAAGCTGGACAGAAAAGGCTAGCTACGGGAGAGATGCTGCTATACTCCGGTCACGAAGAGGACAATGCTCCACACACTCAGGGAGTCGCTCTTATGCTGTCCAAAGTAGCACGAAATGCACTTGTAGGATGGGAATCTCACGGATCCAGAATCATCAAAGCATCATTCAAAACAAAGAAGGAGGGGATCACAATGAATATTATCCAATGTTATGCACCCACCAATGATAGCAAC